TGGTCGCGTTGTAATCTTCATCCAAACACTTGAGCATATCACCCGTGGTGAGGGAATCCACGCGTGCCATGGATCCGTCGGCCTTCATGACCATGGTGTGGCCAGCAAAGCAGCCAGCGGCGTTGCTCACTGCCGCCTCGAGCTATTTTTTTGGTGCGCGATGCAGGCATGGGAAAGTGAGCGAGGGGGTCAAAGAAAGGGAGGAGTTAGAGACATGGGATGGGGTGCCTGCCTGCATTCCAATAGCCAAGGGAAGAGACGAGCGGGCGGGATCCTTACCGCCACGAGGCGATCCTCAAACGTCTCATTGATGATGCGATCGATCGTTTCAATCAGAATGGCCTTGCGGCACGCGGCAATGTTGTCATTGGTAGAGTAGAGGCTAGTGTTCACACAGTTGCAGCCGGCATCGCGACGGAACAATTCATTGACCTCGTCAAGCACCTGATTGCTGATCCCTTGCACCAAATCGGCCTGCGCCGTCGGCATCACCGCCAAAGCGGCCGCCACAGCCACCAACACCAAAGCACTGCAACGCATTGTCGTCGTTGAAAGACAGAGAGACAGAGAGAGAGAGAGAAAATACAGAGAGAGATGAAGACCGAGAGATCAAGAGAGAGAGACAGAGACAGAGACACGTTTGGTGCACGGTGCACAGGGAGAGAGAGAGAGAGGAGAGAGGAGGAGGAGAAAGAGGAAACAATGGAAGAGAGAGAGATCGAGAGAGAGAGAGATCGAGAGAGATCGAGAGAGATCGAGAGAGAGAGATCGAGAGAGAGAGATCGAGAGAGAGAGAGATCGAGAGAGAGATCGAGAGAGAGAGATCGAGAGAGAGAGAGAGAGAGAGAGAAGAGAGAGAAGAGAGAGAGAGAGAGAGAACGTTGGACCATACATGAGGGTCACGTGTGGCGCAGTTGGCGGTTTAAACAGTGAAATTTTATTTTGTATAGCATTTGTGGGTAATTTTTCCTGAAATCTTTTTATCCGTCACATTTGAGGAGTAAGATAGGAGCAGGCTTGATTGGAACTGCTCCTTCTTCATGCGTATGGGAATGGGAGCGGATATGGCAGCGTGCCGGCATCCAGGCACGCTGTCAAATTCGCTATGGCAGTGGCTCATGTTGAGTGCGGGGTTGCTTGACGTGTCTTCACAGGTGCAGTGAACCTGTCATGGTTCTCAAGTCCAGGCTCTGAAGTCCCCAACACTTAAACAGCATTGTGCCTCCGCGCCCCAACAATGTGCGCAAGTTTCGAAAAATCCCCAAACAATGGGGATGTCCAATTATGTATTTTACTTTTCACAATCCTTGAGCGATTTTATCTGACAATCAAAATTGTCATCAATTCGAAACCAAAAAAAAAAAAAAAAAAAAAAAAAAAAAAACCGACGCGACGACCAAAAGGTGACGACATTGCTCTCAAGCTTCTTGAACGCTGCGCGCTCGGGGGTGCGCCGGGGGCTCGGGTACGCCGAGCGCTCTCGGACGAGGGCTGGTACACAGGGGCGCTCTGGTACGAGGGCTGGTACACAGGGGTGCTTTCGGACGAGTGCTGGGACGTCCGAGAGCTGGGACACAGGGGCGCTCTGGTACGAGGGCTGGTACACAGACACTCGGGCGTTCTGGTACCCGGGGGTGAGTGCTCGGGTACACTCGTACTGGTACCGAAGGCTTTGGTCCGAGCCACGGGTGCTGGTGCAAGCTGAGCGGGTGGAAGGCGGCACCGACTGGCAACCGTGGTCTTGGCATCGGCGCCGTTTGTCGGGTGAAAGGGAGCATGGATGACTACCAAGCCATTCCTACGGCACTGCGGTGCCCCTTTTGCCTCAACCTCTTTCGAAATGCCTGCACGGCACGGGTGTGCGGGCACTCTTTCTGCCGCGAGTGCATCGAGCGCCGCGCGGCATTTGCACAGAACGAGCAGCGGCTCTACGCAATCTGCCCTGTCCACCGCGAGCCCATATGGCTGGACGAGCTGGTCCCGAACATCGCTCTCCAACAGCAGGCTGAAGAACATCTTCTCGATTGTCCTCATCCAGGCTGCTCCAAGCAAATTGCTGCACGTCATTACCGGAGTCACCGAGAACGTTGCCCTTACCGCCCCGTTGTTTGCCCCAACAACGAGGTCGAGGGTACCTGCCCCGTCATGACCCTCTCCACCATTACCAAGCACCTTGAAAGCTGCCCTCATGCCGTCTGCCGCTATGCTCTCATGGGCTGCAACTTCCGCGGCACCCTCAGCGGTCGCCTTTTGCACGAAAAAACCTGTCCGTTCTTCGATGGCGAGCCTGAGACCGCCATTCAACAGGGCATCTACCGCATGTCCGACCTCATCCAAAAACTCAAGCATCAAAGCGAAGAGCTGCAAGAGCGCCTGCGTACCATCGAGCAAGCCCAAGCAGTCAGCCTTGACCAGCAAGAGCGCGCCCGACATGAACTCGCGGAATTCACCATGCCCTTCACCTTCCAGTGCAGCGGCAGCTTCAAGGGCCACGCTGGTGCCGTGTGGGCCCTTAGCAGTCACCGTAGTCTGCTCTTCAGTGCCTCGAGTGACCAGACCATCAAGGCTTGGGATCTGCAGCGCATGGCCTGTGTCGCTACATTGACTGGTCATCAAGGCATCATCCATGCCATGGCCTGTAACAAGTCTTACCTCTTCAGCGGAGATTCCGCTGGTCTTGTCCTTGTCTGGGACATTGATCAACTCAAACTCATCGAGACCCTCAACGTGGCCCAATCGATCATTTCCTGTCTGTTGGCCACTCAGCGGCGTTTGATCGTGGGCAGTCAAAACCTGATCAAGGCAAGTCGTGCTGAGGATTAACCCCCCATGTTCCCCCCCCCTGTTGCCGTTCTGATTTGTTGAACTGCGTGCCTATGATTGACTGCTGCCCCCTGCATCCAGGTGTACGACTGCGAAACATTTGCCGAGATCAACGCATTGCAGTGCTTTGATCAACATTGGATTCGCTGCCTCAAGTTGCATCCAGCCGGCTTCATTTTCCTCGGTCTGCCTTTTGCACTGTCCACAGACACACTCCTGGCGTTTGCCATCTGAAATCAAAGACCCATTGTCACACCGCTTGCTCATCAGCTGGTTCCCTCTTCCCCCTGCATCGCATGTCATGATAAAGCCTTTGCCACCAAGGTCCAGATCCGCCATATTGACAGACTGCTACTGCTCATGGAAATGAGTTTGAACCACGGCTCGATTCGTTGCATCACCATGACGCACAAATATCTCATCCTGGGCACCGTGAATCAGGTTTGACCGTCGCCGTCGGTGTGCAAGCGTTCTTCCCCGCACAGACATTCGCCTACTTCAGCTTCACTTGATCTAATCTATTTGCCAACTCTCGGCACCAAATTTTCACCCTGACAGAACGTGCAAGTATACGATCTGGAAACCCTCAGCCACCAGTTCTCGCTGCTGGCACATGCCGGTGCTATCAATGACATGACCACGAGCCCCCAAGGCGCCTTCTTGTTCACCGCCTCGGATGACGGCACCATCGGTATCTTTGATCTGGAAAAGCGGTTGAGCGTGCAAACTCTGACGCGCCACAGCGGCAGCGTCCGCGCCTTGGTATGGTCTCGCACTGCTTTGATGGATCGTGGCAATGCTTCAGCGCTGCCGAGCCCTCACCGGGTGTTTTTTATGTGTAGACTTGGCATCGGGGGCTGCTTTTGTCTGCTGGCGCTGATTGTGAGGTCAAGGTCTACCAATACCAGCCCACAGTTCGCGTACAAGACTGAGCAGTCTCGCAAATGTGGCTGCAACTGCTTTTACACAAAACTCCATCTCAACTCGTTTCTTCTGGATGGATTGTCGAGCTGTGTCAGCTGGAGATGGAGATAATGTAGCAGTCATCGTGAGGTATCAAGGTCAACTCTGACCCATGATGACCTCGAGCTCTTGAAGCTGCGCTTGGAGCATGTTGACCTCGTCCTGAGCGTTGCGCTACGCGTTTACACGGGCCAAAAGTGCCGTGAATTGAGCAAATCGCGCGAGAGCATGCCATTCAGATGGTCAGGGTAACAAGAAAACATGGTGGATTGCGTAGACCTACGCGCCGTGCGTCCTTGATGCATCGCATGATATACGTGCGCTGCTCACGGATGAGCATCAGGGTGTCTGCGTTGACAGGAACGGCGGCTGCAGTCGGGGGTCTGTGCAGAGTTGCCGATGAGACACGTCAGAGAAGACAATGAAAATGGTGAAAAAGGTTCAACATTTATCTAACCAGCAGCGATTGGTTGGATACGTACGTGGGGGCATTGCGACGGGGTTCCTTCTCTTTGCGGGCCGCGCGACGAGCACGAATGGCAGCCGCCTCCTTTTCAGCTTGCTCTCGCTCTCGCTGCTGCTGCAAGCGAAGCTGCCGCTCACGCTCCTCCGCTTCCTGCCGCGCTTTCTCACGCTCCAGTGCTCTACAAAAGTTGGTTGATGGCGGTGAGGATGGAGCTGTGCTGTAGTCGAGAAAACGAACAACCTGCCAACACTCCGGACACGGGGGTGTCTGCTGTGTATGCTTAAGAGTCGACGGACATTTTTTTGACGTCTGCCAAAGGTGGCAGGGTCATGCGGGTGCCCTTGGTCATTTGAATAAAAGTCCGCCACTGCTGGGTGATGGCAGCATGCAGCTGCAGGCAAGATGCAGGTGAAGATCGAGAGGGAAAAAAGTTAGCTCACAGTTAAGCCGGCAGGTTGAGGGCTGCCAAGTGAGTGATAGGCACGTACCCGCAGACTTGATGGAAACTTGTCGGCGTCTTCCTTTTTAATGGCTCCGGCTACCACGCGGCTAAAGAACCAACCCGTGATGATTGAGTCGAAAGCCAGTGTGACAGCGGGGAGACGTGCAAAATACCTCACCATTGCTTCTCGATGACTAGCAAATCAGCAGAAATGGCCTGGAATTCTTCGGCCACGCTCTCGTACGATCCAACAGCAGCCGTCGCTCTGCACCAGATGCGAAAAAAAAGAAGAAGGAAAGCAAAGAAAACAAAGAAAAAAAACACAATTAGACAGTCACAGAGGACCAAAAGGGGCGAGCGACGAGCGGCGGCGGCGGTTGACGGCGGTTGACGGCGTACAAGAGTTGCGCCACACTTCGATTGTAGTCATGAAGCTTGGTTCGTACACGAGCCTGGGCTTCAGACGCCATCTGATGAAGAGCGGTAGCACGAAAGCGTCGACAAGTGAGAGGGCGCACACTGTGGCGGCCTGTGCGATCACAGGTGCTATTGTACCTGATAGGCTTTGATGACGATCCTGTGATGGGGTACTGGGGCTGCTTGCACTTGCTTTTGACGTTTGCTGTTGACAAGGATGGGTGAGGGAAGAGCGGAAATCCCAACCAGCGTTGCAAATGGGGAAAACGGAAGCGGTTGCAATTGCATACGTGTGGAGAGATTGGTGGCAAAAGGGGCAAATGCGGATCACTTCGCCAGGAATCACCAGGCTCTCGCGTAGCAGGGTCAGCTTTTGCTCGTGGCTCAACCTTTGCTTCTTCCCTGGCAGCTCGGGCGGCACGGTCAAGGCAACTGCAGTCACAGCCGAGGTAGATCGGAATTTGTCAATGAGTGAGTCGGTAAGTGCCATGGCCAAGGAAAACCAAGTTTTGCAGGCGAATTGGCAGGGGTGACATACTCGCCACGTTGGCTTCCAATGCCAGGGAGCAGTCATCGCAGAGGACGCTGCCACAGAGGCTAAAGGCCAGCAGGGGCCGCAAAAGTCAAGGTAAAGTGCATGTATGCTGACGCTTGGCGGGGACGGGGGCGCTTATAGGGAAACGGACCGGCAGTGGTGCTGGCGGCGGGTCAAGGAAAACTTTTTGCCGCACTCGGGACAGGCCTTGATGATTTTACCATCGACCCAGGGAATAATGTTCCGTTCAAAATCTGGGTGAGCCGCGGGCAATGGGGGGGGCAGGCCAGTCGCGGATGAGATGCTTGAGGATGTAAAGGCTCTCAGTTTGAGTGGATTGCATGGTCCAAGTCGTGCACCTCGGCGTTGCTGCTTGGCAGACATTGGTGGACCGTGATATAGTAACTGCAAATTGTGGCAGACGGTTAGGTATGAGCGTGTGTTAGGTATGTGCGCGAACCGGCTGGCAGCCGAGCAAAGACGCGTAAATCAAGATGTGAACGAACAGCATCGAGTCGTTTGATCAACTTGGCTTCTTCAACAGAGCGGAGTTCGATTCGCTCGCGCCGTCTTGCCCGGAAATTTGTTGTGAGACGGCGCACGACGCCTGAGTGGACGACGAGCGCGGCGCAGTGTGGTGTTATTGCAGATCATGAGAACAAGCGGACAAAGTGAGGAAAGGCAACCCAGGAGTAGAGACGCACCGATTGTCTGTGGCTCAAACTCGACGTGGGTCAAGTATGCCGGGTCATCGGCCGGGTTTGGGGCGGCTGCTGCGCCGAGCGCGCCAGGAGCCGTTTCATCATCTGCAGATTTGAGCTTCAGCAGCTTGGCCAGGCGGTTACCCTTGGTTCCAGGACCTGTCTTGCCGGCGCTGGGGCCCTTGCACCCAGCCGCAAAGTGCTTTTCCAAGCTCTCCAAGTTGCCCAAGTCCTTGAAGCAGGACGGGCACACAAACCCGGCCGCCACCTCCATGCCGGGCCAAGCCGCGAACCGCGCAGCCCCCAACTGCTCCTCGTCTCCAGCGCGAGGTAAGCGAGCCTTCCGTGGGCTGCTCTTTCCACCAAGACTCCCGCTTTCTCCTTCCCCCCACACCCCCCCTGGCCTTCTCGTCTACTACGCAGATGGCGGCCCTCTCAGAGCGATCAGAGCGCGCAGTGTGTGTGTCGTGCGCACCGACCGAGAGAGAGAGAGAGAGAGACAGAGAGCACCTCAGAAACTGGAACCAGTTTAAAATAGGAGAGAAGTATTCAAAGTAGGAGGGGCACAGTGGTTTAATAAAGCAAGGAGCTCAGACAAGGGTGTGAACAGAAGGTGAGTTTAATTAGAGGGGGAAAGTTTAGATAGAGAAGGGTGGAGAGTTTAGATTGAGAGGGGAAGATGAGAATGTCACACACACACACACACACACACACACACACACACACACACACACACACACACACACACACACACAGTAAAAAGCCGTTTGCTGCTTGAACAGTGACTGACGGCGAGGACGAGGACGAGGACGAGGACGTGCTCGAGTGGTGCCTGCCAGCTAGCTGGGGCGTTGGAGGTTGCTTTGGGACGGGTTGAAGTGTGTGGGAGGGGGGTGGAGACGGGTTGGGTTTCTTGCTTGATGTTTTTCGGTCGCTCTGTCCGACGTCAAGAATGTGTGCTTGAGATGCATGGCTGCAGTCATGGCCGACCCAGACGATCCGCTGGCCAATCCCCGTGACCGCGGGGCCAATTCGCAGTTTTACTCCAGGGGGCTGCGACGGGACCCTGCCGCCTTTGTGCGCCAATCAAATGGTCTGGCTCCCGACGCCGTGGCCACGCCACGGCGGCTGCCATCACCAGTCATTGTTGATGATGACGACGAACTACCCGAGGGCGTCTTTGACCTTTTGGATGCCTACTCCCAGCTGCCGGGCCCACCCGAAGCTGGGAACCGCCCCGCGGCTTCGCAACCCTCCTCGCAGCGCCCTGCTCAAGCATCGTCACCTGCTCCCGATGAGACGGCAACCACACCTGCTCCTGATGCGGCTACAACTACCGCCGTTCCCGACACAACTGCTACCACGCACTCGCTGGTCCGACCGGGCTCCTCTGATGATGACTGTGGCGATGTACATTGGCTCCTCATCCTTCTTCCCACCTTTGGCTCACATGCTTCATCCTCATGTTCTGTAGCACGGACGCATTGCGTTTTTGACGCAACAAGTTAACAAACTACGACAAGAACATCAAGAGGAGCAGAGTCGCGTAAAGTCATCCTGGGAAGCGCGCATCAAGCGGCAACTCGATGAAAACAAGGCTTTGCAAAGCGAACTCACCAGTCTCAAGGTGGAGGCCGAATTTAGCAAGTCCCTTAAATCGCAGCTTCAAGAGCTGCAACGTGAAAACAAGGTATTTGTCTGGTGGGACCTGCACTAATGGCTGCAGCCCCCTCCACTGCCTCATGCTCTGGCTTGCTTGCAATTCTGACTCCAGCGGCTCAAGGCTCGACGAGATGCACAGCTTCACAACGACCCCGCGCCCACTGCAACCCATGTATCAACGGATGGGCCGAGCACTCCCCCCGCGCAGCTGGCATCCCCCGCACTTCGCACCCGCCGCCATTCAAGTCGCTCAAATGATAGTGGCTGGAACATGTCCTTCGGTGGACCTCGCAGCAGCAAACGCGCCAAACGCGAGCCTGCGAGCTCGAGCCAGTCCAATCGCCCGCAAACACCACCAACAACCGCCGATGTCGCCGTTGAGGTCCGAAACCACCCTTGCGCATATTGCATGCAGAAAATTCAAACCCCCTTCAATGCGTTTCCTCATCAGCCGCGTACTTGTCGTGCCATCAACGCAGGCACTGGGTCCTTGTGTTAGTCCTGCCAACCTGGCAAACGCTTCATGCGGTTTTGAAGACAGCACTGCAGACTTGCATCATTTCCAATGTGTGTTTGCGTGCGTTTGCGCGCGCGTGTGTGTGCACGCGAGGGTTCAGATGGCCATCGCACTAGCTTTTGCCGGGCTCATGCCGGACTGCCATTCTCATCGTGTGTAGCTGTTGTCCTCGCTGATGTGGATGACATTTCTTGGGCTCAGCGCGTCTCGGCGCACCTGTCGATGCTGCTCGCCGTGCGCCAGTCTTCCCCCGCGCACTTGTTGGATTCTCTGGTCGAAGAGCTTGATTTGAGTGTGTGACCTGCCCGGCCCCCGCTTTTCACAGGCGCACGCCAAAGCCTACCGTGTGCACACGGCCCGGCAGCGCGCTGCCTCATCGTGTTTGCTTTTTTCATAGGCACCAATCCTTTGGACGCGCCTCGCTGCACAGCCGTGCTCTTGCTGCTGGCCTCCAGTGCCGATTCGCTTGCCCGACTACATGCCTGTGCCGCCTTGGCAACAGGGCAGCCCCGCGTTTTAACGGCATCTGGGCCCGGCTTTTTAGAAGCAGCCGTGGGGTCGATTCGCACTGGATTGCAGCGTCTTCTTGCACTTGAGCTCTCTCCGCCGGCCCTGCAACACGCCTTTTTTCTCGTGCTTGCCGTCTTGCCCCGTTGGTCGCCGGCTGACCTACCCGCCGACCTCTTTGTGCCCATGATCCAGCACCTGCTTGCTCGCCTGTCAGAGGCCGCTGCCTCACCGACACCTGCACGTGAGTGTGCAAGACGGGTTGCGGAGTGCACCAGCATTGTGACATTGCTTGACACCGCTTTGTGCGTCTGCTTTCCCCTCAGTGGACCCACTCGATACCGTCATCTTGAGCGCCATCGAACATTTGCCAGACGGAGCAGCCTTGCATGCTCTGAAATTCGAGGTGAGGTGGTCGCCCCGTGGCCCGCCTGCATCAATTCTTCTTTGAATTTGTCTCTCGAATTGGTCACGCCATGCTTACCTTCCATGAACAGCTCGTCTTCTCCTTGCTGGATGTTGCCGTCACAGCTGACGTTTCCTGGGAGAACATGGGAAATCGTCCTCTGGCCACACTGTGCACGAAATTGGCCGCCAACTTGGTTGACACGCTCTCACAGTTTGAAGTTGAGCGCCGTGCCACCTGGACGGTACGGTCTTGCGTGTCTGCTGGGGCTTTGTGATCAATTGCCTCACCTCAAGTCTGCGATGTGTTTTAAAACCTGTAGCGTGCGGGTCGGCTAGTGCATTTGTTCGTGGATGGAGCGCATCAGTTGTGGACGGCCATGCCTCGAACTGGAGAAGGCGTGGACAACGCAAAGCACGCCTGGAGCTGGAGCTTTGCTCGCCTCAAATTCCTCAGCATCCTGTGTCAGGCCGTTCGCCATCACCGGCTGGTGCCAACAGGCGATGTGGCCCAGGTCAGCAAAATGATGGCGTTTCGTGATGTGCCTGCCCAAAATGTAGGGCATGGCAGGCGTCAACCATCTCCACGCTTTTGTACGCATGGCTCACAACATGCCTGCCGCCCTTCTGACAGGTGAATCAGGAGCTCAAGAGGCTGAAGCTGTTGTTACACCACATGGGCAGTGGCGAGGCAGGCACTCTCTTGGAGACGAGTTCAGAGGCCCATGACCTTTTTTGCCTGCTCTCAGAGGTCTGCGACCCAGGCATTGATAGGAACTGATGACTTTGGGATCAAAAGCCGTTTCATGGCACGTGTATGATTGCACATCTCGTGCTCAGCATTTCGGCTGAGCCGACAACTTTTCCACAATGGTTCGAGCACGAGAGAAAAATGACATGATTATTATTTCGGGTTGTGATGTGCACAGAGTGACATTAATTTGACGGTTCATCGGTTTAGAATGTCAAATTGATGCGTGCACGCCGAGACTGCGATTCATCAGTGCACGGGGCGCCTGGCCTAGTCAGAGTATTGGTCAAACTCGCTAAAACGCCACTTTTGGCGCTCGTTTGCCTCAAAGCACGGATTCAGGACCAAGTGATACTAAGTGGCAGATCAGTCTCGCGTGAGTCAGATTCACAAAGCCAGGCGCTCAAGTGGCTTTTTCTAAAAGAGAGTGCAATATCTTACTCCATGGTCTGATTTGGGCTCAATCTCCAGGCACAGTTTGGAGGCCATGTGAAGGATATGATGATCCGGGGTGTGTATCCACTCCTGATTGCCCTTCATCAAGTGACACCCATACATGCTGGGAGAGCCTGAAGGCCCGCCTGCAAAATCCAAGCACCTGCAAAGTATGCACGGATCGATGAAGCAGGCTCGAGAGCGGGCTCCAGCCGTGAATGTGCAGCCAGACGGGTGGGAGTAATGTCGCGGCGAATGCCACAATTACCTGCTGCCAAAAGTGCCCTCGCGACGAATCTCCTTGAAGCGCTTGGTGTAAAAGAACATTTGATTCTCGCTCTTGGGGCTTGAAGCACAAGCGTAGACGCCGGCCTTCATATCCGCTTCTCGAGGGGTGAGGGTATCGAGACACATGTTGGTGTTGGCGTTTCGAAGCTGGCCCTTGGCATAGAGGTTGTGCCGATCCGGAACCATCATGTCGGGAAAAACGTTGTCAAGATACCATTTAAAAGGCTTGCACTTGAGGCGCTCACGAAGAGCCTTGCGTTCGCTGACGTCGCCCGTCTCCAACTGACGATGCGAGGGGCGAAACTCATAGTAGATTTCTTTATATTCGTCCATCCAGACCTCAGCCACTCGGTTGAGATTCCTGATGATGCGCGACACAAACTCAAGTCAGGACATGAAGACAGTCGGACAGACGGACATGAAGACAGACGGACAGACGGACAGACGGACAGACGGACAGACAGAGAGACAAACGGACAGACAGAGAGAGAGCGTATTGACAACCAACTTGTTGATGGTTTGGACGGTACCGTCTGGAAACTTGTAAGGGTGGAAGTCGCGATACACGTGACCCACGCGCGAGCACGGAATAAACTCGAGTGAACCGTGGCACTGCCAAATTCGGAACGAGATTTCCAAGTTTTCACCCCCCCAGACGGACATGCCCATGTCATAAGAGCCAATCGCAAAAAAATAAGCCTTGTCTATCGAGAACAAGCCACCAGCCATGGTAGGGGATGGCAACTGTACCAGACAGTGTGCATGTAGCCATGATGAGAAACAACAAATCAAAACTTTTGCTTCAAGATGAGATGTGCCAGGGGCTGGTTTTGGCAGGATAGCATGACGCACCGGTGCAATGGGATCACTCCGTTTTTCGGCCTCGAACCAGGGCAAACTATGACAAAAAGAAGTTACGACCCAGATTCAAAGCAGTTATCGGGCCGATCGTACGCACAAGGCCTGGTGATTATGGAGAAAGGAGGAGGTGACAAGAGCTGGAAAACATACTCGAGCCAAGAAAAGGTCAGGGACCATGTGAAAATGCCTCGAGTGCGCACGGTGGGCCCCCCGGTATAGGCAAATGTTTCCTGAGAGGGGTTGCATCAGGTGAGTCGAACAGCATGGAGCCAACGCCGGTTGTGAAGTTTGGCGGACCTTGTCGATGTTGTCAATGACTGGTGTGACCACGATGGAGCGATCCAGAGCAATACGCTCCAACAGAGGCTCAAGCCAGCCCACATTGCATTCGCAGTGGGAATCGAGAAAGGTCAACACGTCACCCTGCGCTGCTTCGGCACCATAAACCTTGGCACGAATGAGGCCCGAGCGCTCGGCCAGTCGTAGGACGCGGGTCTTGGGAATATCCTGGAGCTCCTCATCCAGGGGAGCCTTGAGATGTTCCATATCGCTGGCATCATCGACGAGAATAATCTCCTTGATCAGACGTGGTGGGGAACGATCCAGCACACTCCACACGGTGCGTAAGAGGGTGGTCCGCGCCTCGTTGTGAAAAGGAATGATGACGGTGGTAGTGGGCATGGAGCTGATGTCGTAGTGCCGAGCCTGACACTTCTCATGGCGCGTATCGGGGATGGCACGATGAAGCGACACGCGGTCAGAGATGTATTGATTAAAGTTGTTGCGCTTCCATCCGACATCATGCTCCTTCTTCTCTTCCTCCTTGCTCTGCTGCTGGGCGGCGAGCTGCGCTTCACGATCCGGCGTTGGTCGGTGGCCTACACGTTCGGCCTGATTAAGCAGATCCCGGGCCTCATCGAGGGCATCCTTGGCCTCACTCTCGGCCGACTGGCCCCACAGAGAGCGATCTTTCCGGCCGTTGTCCGCTTCTTGGGGCGACCAAGGGGGAGCTGGCTCCGAGCTGCAAAACCATACCAAAAGAAGAGAACATTCCACGCATGAGCTCGCATGAACCAAAACACAAGGCGTTGAGCCTTTGATCAAACTGCCCGCTCCCTTTGCTGACTGAACGCTGGTAGCCTTATGATAAAGCCTTGTGAAGCGCTGCGCGGGCTGTACCTCCGTTGACCGATGTGGCTTGAAAAGTGCCACACCAACGCAAGCAAGGCCAGCAGAATAAGAGCATCAGAGAGACGCGCTCGTCGAATCTTGATCCACGTCCAAGCGCATGCTGAGACATACCCAATATGCCCGCGTGAGCCCCAGCCAGCGAGCGATGAGCTGCGCGTTTGTGACGCAAACCTCACCTCGAGCGAGACCCATGCTGGCGGATCCTCCCGACTTGGCTCGCTTGGCACTTCTACTGGAAGAGCAGCAGTTCCTAATCGCCCGGACCCCTGGAGCATGAGCATGAGCAAACGGTTACAACATGCATGACCTTTGACCACAGTACCGCCACGTTGGCAGAAAAAAAAAAAATTAAAAAAAATAGGCACAGCTGAGACCCGCGTTCCAAATCGCCCCACACAGCGCCCAAATCCCAACAACAAAACATACCCCTAGCTTAAAATCTAGCCCAACACCAGTACAAGCAGCCCAAGCCCGCGATCCAGTGTGCCCGCAAGCCCTGACCCCAGCAGCGCACAAGAGGGGAGGGCGACGGCGACGACGACGACGACGACGACGACGACGACGACGAAAAAATCAAGAAAAATCACTCGTTGTGATACAGTAACACTTGACACACTTTATATGTCAGACATCTGTGATATATATCACACTTTAATCTCTTCCCAGCAATGTCAGCACATTTTGGAAGATCTTTATTTAGGAGGGGCTGGGTTTATTTTGCGTCTTTATTGGATCACGAGCGGCGCGGCGGCTGTTGTGCTTTTCTGGCGGTGGCGCTGGGTGGACCAGTGACGGGGATAGCATTCAGGGGGCTTGTGTGAAGCTGGATAGGGTGTGGTGGTCAAGTAGACGAGCGAGGGGTCGAGTCCCTCTGTTGGTTTGATTTGGGGGGTTTTTTTTTTAATTCGGAAGGGGGTGCAAGGAGTGCTGTTGATGCAGTCTGGTCGTCTCACGGCAGTGCCGGAACGGTCGGCGGTCTCCGGTGAAACGGCGCGCTCCGATTGCGGATATCGATGAAATGGGTTCTGCAGCTGACGATCGGCGTACGCGCGTCTCCTACACGCTCCGGTGCGACCCCATCGCAAAGCCCTTCTTCTTTTTTTTTTTTTTTGCTTTTGCTTCCTTTTCCCTTGCATCTTCCGCCTCACAAAGCTGGACATGATGTGGCCACTCACGCCAATTTGCTGCTGTTGCCTGTCCAGGGAGCCCGAAGCTGAGCAGCATCGCTTTGCCGTCAATGCGGTGCGCTGCCTTCCCGGAGAGCAGGATGTTGTTTTTACGGCTGGCCGTGATGGGTTTGTGCGCGAGTACGACGTGCAGCCAAAGGGGCTGGCGCTTCGTGGCCGCTTTGCACAACACGTAGACTGGGTCAACAGTCTGGCCGTGTGTGATGACATTGGCTTCCTGCTGTCTGCGTCCTCGGATGCCTCGGTCAAAGTCTGGACCCTAGCCTCGCGCCAATGCGTTGCAACCTTGGACAAAGTATGACCTATCCTCCCCTGAGTACCCTGACATTTCCTGCCACCTGAATCGCTGACCTGGTGAACCTTTGCCTCGATTCAACTCTGGTAGCACAAGGATTACGTCAAAGCCCTTTGCTACACCCCCAAGATGCGGCACTTTGTGACGGCCGGCCTGGATGGCCGCATCATCGTCCACGACTTGAGCAGCCTGCGAGATGTGCAATCGACAGAAATTCACCACAGCGACTGCTCCTTTTACTCACTGGCCCTAAATGCCGATGCCTCTTTAGTTGCAGCCGGAGCCTCTGATCACGTTGGTTTTGCTTGGCGTGCCCAGACTACTTTGGACGTTTTTCAAGTCATGGGTTCACTGAGTTGGTTCATTCATACTAGATTATTCGTCTCTGGGATCCCCGAGCTCGCAAGCAGCTTCACTCGCTCAAGGGCCACCAAGACAACATCCGTGACCTGTTTATGAGCGAGGACGGCAACCATCTGCTGTCATGCTCGGCCGGTATGCCACCTCTTGCCCTTGGCCGCGTGACCTGCCTTGTCTAAACGTTTTGGTTGGGCCTCGGGTACTTTTGGCCCATGCAAAGCCACATCCGAAAGATTGACGTGATGATGAACAATGGCCACTAGATTGCAACATCAAGCTGTGGGATATTCGCCGCCAGCAATGTGTCTCTACCTTGGGCGTGCACGAAGCTAGTGTGTGGGCCATGGCCTGCTCCTCAGACCTCTCAAAGCTCTATTCAGCAGGTGCGAGGGCGCAGACCTGCCACGAACGCACTGGCCAGTCTAGTAGGCACCTCAGCGTGACGCTCTTTTGCTTGACGTGTCAGATCGTCTGGGCAGCGTGTTGGTAACCGATCTGCGGAAAGCACAAGAGCAAACCTTGTCAAGTCAGCTTCTGGCTGCCTTCGATCAGCCCGTCACCTCACTCTGCCTGGATGAGCAACGCCAGCGACTATGGGTTTCATCGCTGGATTGTTCCGTCTCGGCGTGGGACTTGCAAGGCACCACTTCCAGTGCAGCTGACGCCGCACTGGGAGCCTCTTCCGCTGAGAGCGAATTTGTCGAGGCGACTGCGCTCCTGACTGAACCGCTTCTTCGTCTTGAGGGTGAGTATTGATCACTGGGTGTGCCCATGAGAATAAGGTCTTGCTCGGCACCCCTAACTTGAATTGCAAACGGGCGGGACTGGAATCTAGGGGCACCGGCCATTGTCAAGCACCAGCTTTTGCCCGATCGCGAACGTGCACTCACGCAGTACAGCGATGGGCACTATGTCCTTATCAACATTGTCACGGGTGAACGCACCCCCTTGGACAGCACAAACTCTTTTGACGACACGGTGGGTCGTGTCGCCCCGCCTCAAGGCGCGAACTAGTGTCCCCAACAGCACCTCACCGATAGCAAGAGGCGTGCTCTCCTTATTCTATTCTTTTTTTTTTTTTCTACTGTGTAGTATGACAGCATAGAATGCCTGCAGCAGGTGCCGTCCTGGTGCGCCCTGGAGCACAAGCTTGGGTGCCTCACCGTACACCTCGAGGCAAGCTCAGCGTTCAAGGCGTGGAAATTGCTTGACCTCCACAACGTAGACGATGCACGCATCAATCTCGGCGCGGCCGTCCTCCAGGTTGGTCAAATTTTGATATAATTTTGTTAATCCGTTACGTGATTTCATGGCATGGCCTGGGTGTTCTAGAGTCTGCATCGAGAATGGTTCGTGCGGAGCCGAATTCTGATGAAGCAACAGAGCGATCCAAGCTTTAAACCGCTTGATTCCTGGATCGAAGCTGTGCGGGCCGAGGCTGTAGCTGCTGGCTTTCAACACGACATTTTTGACTTGCCGGAGACTGCCATTGTGAGCGTAACTCTGCAAAGCCAGGTGCTGGCCGCCGAGAGTGTGGTAAGTGTTGTCGCATCGACCAACTCGTCCATCTCAACAGGTTGTGCGTCCTCAATGCTCCATCTTGCCGTGCCCCCTAGCAAGCGCTCGCGTTTCCTGCCAACTTTCAGCTTTATGACGTGCGATTGCCAATATGGGTGACTTCTGTGCTAACACAGCCGGTCGGTACTTGGAGACGTGTGAAACTCTTGCTTTCTGCCAACTGCCCGTTTGCCCCCTTTGAATGCCAAAGGCCCGTATGCAACTGACAACGTGTTTTAATTTTTTTTTTTTTTTCATTTTTTCAAATTTCCCTTGGATGTCACTGCAGCAACACATTGGTGCCAACCCCTGTGATAAGATTCAGTTTCACTTGTTACCCGCTGAAGGCGCTGAGACGGCGATGGGAGCTCTCGACTCGTGAGTTACAGACCTTGATCTGCAAATGTGCACGACTGGCGGTGTGGACACACCAAAGGCCTCATGTTTGCCCTTGGCACTGGTCCTCGTGTGGTGCTTCAGATCATTCTTAACATGCATGAGCTGTCTGCCAGCATGGCGTCTGGCTCGGCATGCGCATAATCGGCTGCCGCTGGTTGCCAATGAGATTGCTGCCCGCGAAGGCGAACCCACCCGCTGGCAAGCCACACGCCCGGAAATAGGTAGCCAGGTTGCCGACTATTTGGAAATTCTCTGCAATGATCAGGTGCGTTTGGTCTGCCAGTCGGACAAGGCGAGCATGGTACGTCATTGAACGTGTTCGACTCATTCTTCCCTCTTTTGCGAATTCATCGCAGGTTGTGCATCCCATGATGACACTGTTGCGTGTCAGAAGCACCATGTGGAAGCGAGGCGGTGACATGCGCTTATCATACCGCTGGAAAAACTCTGGCAAGTCTTAGGTTATGCCTCAATTGTGCTTCCCCCACGTGCTTGTTTCCAGCATATCCATACGTGTGCACGGCCTTGCTCTTGGTCTTCCGTCATCAATCGAAAGTCGGGTTGTCAATTGAAATTTAGATCGATCCATTCGGATGTTAAAAAAAAAAAAAGGAACCATTTTTTTTCATTTTTTTTTTCGAGATTTTGGAAAAAAAACCAAAAAATTCACAATGGCAGAGCGACACGTGCGCCGATTGGGACCAGTCACAGCAGGCTTGGTGGCGCTGGCCCTGGTCTTGATGATGGGATCACAGCTGGTTGCTGGTCAGGAGACTGGTTCAGAGGCGGATCAGCCCATGGGACAACCGGGAGAAGCTTCCACCAGCTGCACCAATGTTATTCTGCTCGGCGCAACCGGGAGCCTGGTGAGCCATTCAATGCTCAGTACCTGCGCCATGTCCGGCAGCAACAGCTGCTCACATTGCCACGTTTGTTCTGCTGCACTAGGCTAAAAAATACCTGTGGCAGGCCTTTTTTGAGCTGGCAGCCACACAGCCACAGCATAGCTTTGCATTTTTTGGTGCCGCTCGTGCTGCGCCAGCCGACGGCGAAGCACTGCTTCGAACCATTCTATCCGAGCGCATTCATTGTTCAGACCTTATCGAAGCTTGTGATTCTGAGATGCTGGACGCTTTCCGTCAGCCTGTGCGCTATGCTCAGCTCAAAAAGGACGCTGGTATGCTGTTCGGCTCTGGATGGCCCTGGCTTGCCTGCTGCCTACTCACTGGCCCTTAATGGTTTGCCTGCTGCTAGACTTTGAAGCGCTTGGCAAGCGCCTTCAATCTCTTTCCGGTGCGTCCTGTGTCGACTTGTGCTTAGTGATCCTTGAGTACTTCTTGGTCCTACGCAATGTCTACCTCCCAACGCTCCGGTCTCATGAGACCCCCCCTTTTTTTTCTCTGCAGATCGCGCATCATGCGATGCCCTAGTGTACCTTTCAATCCCACCGGGGGCTTACATATCCACGGCTGCCAGCGTCAGCCAGCACCTACGGTGTGCCAAGCTGCAGCCTTGTTCACCTTGTGTTTTGTACTTTTCTTCCCCCTTCTTGTGGTGTGCCTTACTCACCAAGCCCTGCGTCGTCCCTGCCCCACTCACATATCTTCTTGCATAGACCTAAGGGCGCGGGGCAAATCAAGATTGTAATTGAGAAGCCCTTTGGCAGCAACACGGAGAGCGCAGTCGAGCTGGGTCAAGGCTTACATGAGCAGTTTGCAGAAGAACAAATCTATCGTATTGACCACTATCTCGGCAAGCGGGGTGTTGCACAAATCGTGCCCTTTGTGCACCACAATGCACACGCCTTGCACCGTCTCGACATTCAGCGTGTCCTCTCCCACGTCGCCGTTCACATGTTTGAGACCGAAGATTGCGAGTAGGTGGCTTTGATTCAGTCAACAACACCGTGAGCCTCGCTTGTGACTCGACTCACCGACCGTATGTTGCACGCCTCGATTTGCTCCTGCGATAGAGGCCGCACGCGCTTTTTCGATGAGTACGGCATCATTCGCGATGTCATGCAAAACCACCTGACCGAGGTCATGCTGGCTGCATTGTCTTTTGTCATGCCACTGACTGGCCATGGCAACTACCTCGCGTACAAGGATTCGATGCTCATGCAGGTACAGCATGCCTGCGGATATGCTTGCTCGGTCGCCAGCTCCCCTGTACATCTGGTGCTCATCGTCGCCACAGCTGAAGCCAAGGCAGGTTTTGGTTGGACAGTATGACACGTATGAGGACCACGTGCGAGCTGACGATCCAAGTGAGCCCAAAGTCGTTGAAACTTGTCTCATCTTTCTGCCTGCATCGTGCGATCAATGTTCCACCACGCTGAGCGAAAATGATCCCACGTGCAGAGAAGCAAGCCTCCAGCGTGCCGACTTTTGCTGCCGCAGAACTCGAAATTCACGCACCTTTTGTTGAGGTACGCGTCGGCTCTGTCAAGAGCTGAACTGCTGAGACTCGGGGTTTTACGCGCCGTGCTGATACCGCGTTGCCTTCTGGGGCTTGTCCTTGATCCCATATGCTGGCTGTAGGGAAAACGAGCCATCATCAGCAGCGGCAAGGCGGTACGTCGTGTCATGCCATGCTTATCAGTCATTAGACTGCTCGGCAAAGCAGGCGGCCGGTGGGGCATGCTCACCTGGCAAGTTTTTTTTTTGTCTGAACCGCATCCATAGTTTGAAGCTCGTCGCGCCAATGCCACCATGACTTTTGCGGATGGAACCGAAATTTTGTTTCACATCCAAGGTGATGGCCAGCCGGCTCACGTAGCTATTCCAGCAGAAGGGGCTGACTTTGGCAATATTGCTGCCCCCGCCGACTGGACTGAGAAGACCGTGGGCCCTCAGCGCCTCTTCTTCCCACGTGTGTTTGCGCCTGGTTCATGGCTTGCTCGCACTACATTGTCATCAAGTCTATACGCATACACTGATCTGATGCTTGTTGGTATCTTTAGCTGCCACCTTGGGCAGTGATGTGGCTTACAGTCACCTGATCCAGCAAATTTTCGCCGGCAATCGGGACGCGTTTGTGACAGACGACAACCTTGTGGCATCCTGGCAGCTGTGGGATCAAGTGCTAGAGATGGCTGATGAGATGCCCATCCGGTTTGTGGCAACTTGATAATGGCTATTCCTGAGTTTTCGTGCTGGCAGCAAAGACCATGTCCTCACTTTTGCTGGTTCGCCAAATGCACTCGCTCTCAAAGTCAATACTCTAGGGGCGGTGCACAGGTGGCCTTTGACTACCGCTACGACCTGCATTACGTGCGTGCGGCACACGATGAGTTGTAACCAGACTACGTTTGTCAAACAGGCATGAAGAAAGGAACTGCTTCAACGAGCCCCCCTTGGCGCCGTTGTTCCATGAAAATATTTTTTTGCAGCAATGTAGAAAACGTCCACATGAATCAAAGGTCGTCTTAAATTTGGTTGTAATCAGTGATCAAGGTATCATGGTGTTGTCACAAGGCTCCCTTGGGGAGGTTTGAGCATCACGCGAGTTCCTTTGAAACAAATGAAAAAGAAAGGAAAGGAAAGGGGCATACAAGAGTCATAAAATAGCTCTGTACAAACAAGAGGAGCAACGCGAGCATGGCGGTTGCTCAGACTAAATCAGAAACGACCCACTACTTGAAAAAGTCATCTTCGTCGTCATCGTCATCGAAATGGGCATTCCCGCCGATCGGCCGAATGGGCCCTTCCAGCGCATCTTCCTCGCCAATCAGCATGTCATCGTCACTGTCCAACGGGCCCAGGCTGGTATCGCCATTGAGGCCAGCCTCAAGTTGTTGGTACCTGAGGGGGCGGGGGGACACATAATGAAGGTGAGGTGTCAAACACCGGCGTTTCCAACGCCAAGCCAAAAACCCAAAACCACTTTCAAGCTTGGTGAAAGAGACTGCAAGGTACGGTATGACTTACGAATAAACCGGTCGGCGGCGGAAGCAAGAGAAGCGGGACAGGCCTCGACCACACCAACCCAGGATGCCGTCCTCCACGCCGCAACTGCGGATCGCGCTGTCAAATTGCGATGAACAGGCAAGTATAAAGTGAGATGTGATGGATGCGGTAGGCACAGCTTGACCAGGCTCCGGTTTCGATGACACTCACAAAGAACGAGCGCGCGGAGAGCAGTAAAAGGTTCCCGCAATCAAGACAACAAGACAGATGAGCACGGCCAGTGCCACTGCAAAGCCAGCACCAGCGGAGAGGTGGCGCTTCTTGTGCGAGGTCTGTGGGTATGAGAATGGGGGCAGAGTGACAAAACCAGCAGGAGCAGCGGCGTTGAGTGGTCGGAGAAGCTTTTCAACCACTCAGAAACACCCACGGGGCCAACCAACGTGCGAAGGACTTACGCAAGTGAGCTCGACCGATGCAGCCTCGTATTGCTTGGAAAGTGAGCTTTCCTCACACACGTCTCCCGCGATCTTGGCATACGAGGAAACCATGGTCGTGGATTCCTCCGGCTGTGAGGTAGAACGGCGGATGAGGGCAGGGGAGGTGCTCAATCCAAAAGATATGCCACCATACGCGAGGCTACATACAAAGCAGTCAACCTCCATGGCGTAGCTGTGGTCCAGAAGGCACGGCGAGGAATGGTTCAACACGTCTTGACGGAAAAACCCAGGCGCACTTGATCATATTGACGTCGAGAGACCAGATAAACATGGAAGCAAATCAAGCGTGTCAAATCAAAAGGCACTGCTCGAGCAATCTGGACAAGGGTGTGGGCAAAGACGAGGACAAGCACACACACCATTGATAATCCTCTCTGGAACATGCGCACGAGTGCTCCAGAGTCAGTGTGTGCACGTCCTGGTCCACATCAATCGAGCAGCTATGATGATTCGAGCACCAGGATACGAAAAGTGGAAATCCCGTGAGCAAGAGCGCTGGCAGGTGTTGCATTTCTGGATTTGAGTGCGGTGTGTTGCAGGACGCCTTTTCAAGCACATTGACGTACAGGGCGCAGCTGCTGCGACGCAGGTGTGAGTAGAGGCCACCCAGAAGGCACACGTCCTTTGTCGTGCCAGTATTAGGCACAGTCTCGGTATAAAAGTCGGCGTCCAAACCTAGGAAACAATCAAAGCTCGGCGTCAGGATGTAATCAAAAACTATCAAACGGAGAAGAGGAAATTGGAAGCAGAAAGAAAAACAGATCTGGTGGTGTTGGAATAGCGGACTCACAGTAGGGTACAGAGGCATCGGCCATGTCGACTGTTTTGGTCACCCAATAGTAGTCATCATTTTGGTAAAAAAGTGAAACGGCAGACTCCCGATGAGAGGGCTCTGTAGCAAAGTACAGCCAGACTACGACAATCAGAAAGGGCCATGCATGAGTCGTCCGCCGCCAGTTCGTGACCTGAGGTCATGCCAGAGCGCAGCCTGTCCAAGTGAGCGGAAAGCAGGCCAGTAAGGTGGCGCAGCGGTTGCGCACCATCGCTCTCCGCAATCTTCAAGGTAGCCCATTCGTCCTCTCGACCGTCCAGCATGGAATAGCTGAAAGGACACCAGCATCGTGAGTCCGCGGTCTGAACAAAGGATGCATAAACTGCCCTGCATTTGGATCAGCACAACAGACCTGATGGTGCTCGATTGGAGGTATGGAATTGCTACCAGCAAGGCACCGTAGTTCAAGATCTCATACAAATGAGGCTTGCCAAACATCTAGAACGAGTCCGAGTTAGGGCCAGACGCTGATCAAAACGAGCGCCACCATCAAGCGCACATCATTCACCCCCTCACCTCATCCCAGGTGAATCCACCGTTGCGTGACAGGTACACGTTTGAATCATATGTGTCGGCCAGCGCCGCACCGACAAAGCTGCGCCGCCAGAAACCGTGATCAGAAAAACGAGTGAAATGTGACCGCGCAGCAGCCTTGGCAAGTTGAAACGAGAATGAAACGAAGTATGATGTGGCTGGTCACAGACGGATAGGAGATGCAAAACACATGACAAATCACAAGCTGAAGAGACTGCAGACTGACCCGTTGACCATGACAATCCCTGGTGCATTGGCACGACTTGACGGGAGCGGCACGCCATACAGCTAGGCACAGCGAGACATGTGTTTTGAATGAGTACACCCTTGGAAGCGTTGTGCAGTGATGAACAAAAACTCGACGAAAAGGTTGAGAGAACGAACCGCCTGCCAGATCTCAAGTGTCACGTGAAGATTGCACTCATTCGAGCCCTCGCAACGACTTCTGCGGATGTTGTTCAAGGGCAAATTTACAGTCAGCTTCAAGAAATGGAAGTAAAACTCGATACCAAACAAGCGCGGTAAAAGACACATACCGGCTATTCTCTGGCACTGGAATCTTGCTCCACAGCGCCCCCTTGTTGTACGAGATCAAGCTGACATATGAGCCTTGGTCTAGGACATTGGCAATGAGTGTACCGCGCTGGCTCTGCACTGCATGCAGATCAACCACCTGATACGCAGGCACAAACCACAAACAAAAAAAAATCATTATGAGCAAGAGTGCTTCATGTGAAAAGAGATGGCAAAAAAGGGGGCAGGCCAACGACTTTGTAACGCTGCTGACCTCGTCACTCTCCTCCGTGGCGGGAAAGTAGAGAATATCGGGCAAAGCAACCGTATAGTAAACGCCCGTAGCGTCCTGGAGCAAGAGGTGAAAGCTTTGATGAGTGAGGGTTCTGAATTCAAACCAATGGGGGTGCTCAAGGTTAGCTTTGTGTTGTTCTGTTCTGTGCTCTTTGTGTTTTCTTTTCAAAAAAAAGAGAGTCCCATACCGAAATGTACAAGACGGTTTCCCGGTACAAGCTCTGCTCTGAGACGTCTTCTTCAACCAGCGTAACCGAGAGAGTCGACTGGCCATCAGTCCCAGCCTTATTCCACAGAACCTGGCCAGCGTTCTTGCCCACGAGCATGGCCGGGATGGTTGGGGTTGCATCCGCCTTGTCCACTGTGTTGCCAACGCCAAATGCACAGTCAAATTGAGACAAGCTTGGCTCGAATAGGCAATTGTTAAAAAAAGAAAGGCGGGGGTGTGCACTACATACAGCCGTAAACGCCACCAATGTAATCGCTTGCAGTGTCGTAAATGATGAGCGCGGCGGCTCCGGCATCCTCGGCAAGGCGCACCTTTTCGGCAAAGGTGCAATCCCCGCGCTGAACGAGAACGATAAAGCCGGCCACACTCGTGCCGATACCCCCGCTGTCAGCACAGCCTGTTGGGTTTGAAGCGGGCTTGACCACCTTCCCAGCTGCGCAGTGACATGACAGGGTTTAGCAAATTTACCAATCGCTATCACCATGAGCAGAACAGCCATGAAACCAGGTCAAGCTTACTCAGAGCCGTTTCAACTAATGGAGACTCTTTGAGTCGGGCTGCCTGAAGCACGGTACTTGTGCCTTGAATTGTAATGGAGAGGTTGCCTACAGGGATGGAAATGAACATGTGAGGCGATCAATGATATCGTTGTTGTATAATCGCAAGCAGGTCCGTAGATGAAATTTACCGTAAAAGCCTGTGATTTGAGCTTCCGAAACGACCAGTGCTTCGCCCTCGCCGGTTTCCGTCACATAGTAGTTGAGAGACTTGCCACTTGTCGGGAACACTGTTTCAGTAAAGGTTTTGCCGTTGTCCGAGCTCACGTGCAAAGTTTGCTATGGCCAACACACACACGTGTGCGGATGAACGATCCGGGACCGATGCGCGGGTGACTTGCAAAACGAAAACTTCAAGTGGAAAATGATAGTTTCTCATTGAACGGGAGGTAAAATGTGACAGCGCTCGTTGAGCCAACCTCGCCAAACGTGCCCGGTGTCTCCTTGACAAACAGGAACGAGTCCGACTGAAAACAAGAAAGGAGACCGACAAGAGAACGTGGTGAGCAAGCACAAGGTGAAGGCGTTTTGCAGCGCTTAGGGCGTGGAGCGAGAAACTAGGCACCTGTGTAAACTCGTGGCAATTTTCTTTGAGGGTAACGCGGTGCGGCGTTGAAGAGGATGGGTTCTCAATGCGAACAAAATGGATGGGCACGTCGGCGTCACTCTCCTGACCACTGCTAGTGTCGGCCTCTGGCTGATACTGCGTCATGAGAATGACGTCGGACTTTCCAAGGGAAAAGGCACAGTGGTATAAGCACAGCAACCAAGAAAAAGAAGCCTCCGGCTTGCCAAAGCTTGATCGGAACAAGGCGAAGAGGAGGTGCTGCTTACTTCATCGCTTTCGAGGATAAACTGCGGCTGCAGCCACTCGGCAAAGTGCACGTGAGTCTCGAGCTGGGTTTCACTAAACTCGCCATTGCTGTACTTGAGATGATACATGGTATCACTCTCGACGCCATTCTGCAATCAAGACGGCACACGCCAAAGCAAGTGAGGTGACCGTGCAATGTGCGGCACCGATCAGATTTTACGCTGTCTGAATCAGGTCCTGGCAGAGGCCACGACCGTTATCGTACCAAGGATGCCTTCACAAAGCCCAGCAGCTGAGTCTGGTCGGTGGGGTGGAGAAGAATGCGATCGTAAGCCTCGTTGACACTCTTTTTGGTGAATTGGAGGTCATCGCTCGCCACAAAAATGAACTTGCCCGTCACGGGGAGGGCGTACACCTGATGAGGGAGGCAGAGTGATCACGAAGAGGGACGGCGGAAAGTGAGGCGGACAGGCTCAAAGACGAGATCATGCTTGATCTGGGCTTAGAAGTAGGGGAGGAAGTGCCCGGGCCGCAATGGCAGGGTGAGAAGGGGAAAAACGCACAAGCAGGCCACCAGCCATCTTCTTGTTGTTGGGAGGCTCGATGGAAACAAAATCGGCGATATCGAGTGTAATGCCCGAGCATGCCGCAAAAGTTTTGCCCATATCTGACGAGCAGTAGGCGTTGCCCTGCGTGGTACTGCTACCAAACTCGAGCCAGGCCATGATGCCCTTTAAAAGCGGATGGCAGAGAAAACGAGAGCAGGGATGAGAGCCCAAGTGATTTGTAGCAAAGCGACTAGAACAAGTCGGACGCACCTCGTACGGCGCTCCCAGCCAGTTGAGATATAGACCACCCGTGGCCTCGAACGTATAGCTGTCCGTGGCCTGTGATACTCGCTCAGAAACACTCGTCATGTCCACATTGGTACAAGCAGCATTGTCGCTGGCAGCGCGACGACGACGAAGCTCAGCCGGGATGGGAAAACTTTCTGCGGTCGGACCCGAGGTTGAGGGAAGTGGGAGTAGGTCTTCTGGACGGAGCGGGGTGGAACGCTTAACACCGCTCGGCGCATCTGTGATGGGGCGCTGGTGGTGAGCCTTGAGATGTTCTTGCAGTTGATGCCAGTGTGCCTCACGCTGCGGGGCTCGAGACACGTTGCCGTCGGGGCCGAGCGACAAGTACTGCCGGCGAGTTGAAGTTCTGCCAACGGATGCAGGGAGACAGCGGCGGGAGAGAGGATGCGCATGGATCAGCAAGCAGACGCTGACGCAAAGCGTGGGATTAGGCAATGAGAGCATGCACGTACTTGGGTCGAGCCAAAATTTGGCGGCGCTGAGCCAAAAACTCGCGGCGCTGACTCGCAGCCGTGGATGTGACCGTCATGGCCATGCAGAGTACGCCCAGCAACGCCAAGCCAACAGCCAGGCCCGTGCGGCTGGCACGAGAAGCACCAACGCGAGCCATGGCGAGAAGCGAGCGCGATAGCCAGACACGAGGACGATCGACGATGAAATGTGGATCTGCCTTCCTACCAGTGATGTGGCACGATGAGAGCAGGGCAGGCCAGAGGGCAGACAAGGATGAGCAACAACCGCGATCCTGCAAGCGTCAACGGCAGCGACCGACACCCCCGGACCATCGGACCAAACAACTGGAGGGAAGTGAGCAAATCCACCCTTGCCCACACCTTTCCTCCACTCCCCCCCACCCCTTCCGCCCTTCCGCACACCGCCGATGAGCGCACACCAGGCACACCTGCCACAGTGATCGAGCACACACACACACACTCAGACTCACACACGTCGCGCACTGAAATTTGTTTTAAAAAAAATATAATTAAATTTTCTGTGTGTGGATCGCTCTCTCTCTCTCTCTCTCTCTCTCCTCTCTCTCTCTCTCTCTCTCTCTCTGTCTCCAGAAACGAATCAAAAAATTTGTTGAAAGTTTATAAACTTTTAACAATAATTTTTTATGAACAACTTGTAAAGTTTTCATGCTAAGAACAAAAGATTTGAATGTCGGTGCATCCGAGGTATGTAAAGCGCTATAACAGCTCTTTCATGAACGAACGCTTTACGGCAGGTGCCTACATTATTTGACATGAAGCTGCGATGGCCTGCTGGTGGCGCAGGAGAAGCATCATCGAGCCCGCGTCAGGGCTTGGTACCGTCAGTGCCCCAAGATAACGCCCGCCACTGACGACTTCAATGCAGAGTCCCCTTCAAAATATATTTCCCATCCTTCTATTTTATAACGTCTTTTATTTCTGTATTATTTTACGGCCGTTTTACCCTCGAAATCTAATGTATGCTATTGGCGCGAAAATGACCGTTACCCGGCGCCATTTTTTTTTTTTTTTTTTCTAGCGCGCCGAGCGACACAGGGGTGATCGGTTGCTATTTCTCTCTCTTTTCTCCTCTTTTCGGAACAAGACGGTGCAGGGCCGCAATCAGGCGACTGCTTCACTTGCTCTATCCTGGTTCAAGCTTTCTGAATCGGTCCGATTTTGGGACCCTATCTCCCTCCTCCCCTCCTGGGTCATCATTGTGCTGATTGACCAGCAACCATGTCGGTGCTGGAGGATCTGGTCCAGGCGTTTCGCGCCCAAGCCATCAAGAACCTGGATGCCGATACCTTGGAGAGCTGTAAGCTTCTGCCGACTTGTGTTGGATTGCGTCCTGCTTGTTCGACTTTAGATCTGCTCGTCTTGAACCAATCACCGTACTTTCAAAGACCTCTGACTGAAATCTGAACACGCGGTGTGAGCCAGGCGCAACCATTTGCACCAACTATGGGATGAAGGCCCACCAGCTGGTTGATCGATGGAGCACCTTTTGCATCCGTGCCGAACTTCCCGAGAAGCCCTCCGTAGACAGCCTGCGCATTCTGACTGCCGAGGTGAGTGCCGCAATTACGTGGACGCTCTCTGCGCACCCACGCAAACCCAACGTGCCTTCACCGGGCACTCCTTAGCTGGCCAAAGAAACGCAGCAAGAAGCCGAAGTACCAGCCACCCCACGCTCCGGGTGAGCCACCTGTGATTTCTTCTCTCCGTGCCCCCACCCACCCATTCGCGTCTTGACTGCTGGACCACAACATTGTGAATTCTGACCGTCGCCGTGGCCCATCACTCTACAGGGGTGCTGGCGGCATGCTCTCTGCTTTTGGCGCCAATACAGAGATTACCGCCAAGGTGTCGGAAAAACAACAATCTCGCAAGGTCAGTCAACCAAAGCCACGATTCAACTCATCAAATGACGATTTCTCACCGCGCCCTTGACCCCCACCTTCCCCTTGGTGCCCGACTTTCAGCGGAGCTCTCAACGCCGCCATCAATTTGCAGAACCCACACCCAAGGTCAGCAATTCTTTTTGTTGTGTTTTCCCATTCTGACCATTGACCCATGGTTGATAAGCCAGCCGCTGCTCTTGCATATGCATTAACGCGCACGCTGCTGCAACCCGCAGCGAGCCGGCGCTGACAACTCGCCTTCCACACCCACCCGTGGTACCAGCGCCTCACCGGCATCAACACCTTCTGTCAAAAGCTACGGTATGTCGTCATCACGGTTTTCAGGACTGCAGCTCTAGACTTGAGTGTGCGGCAAAGCCACAATATGCATTGCAGACGGTCGCCCGGACCTCTCACCGCTCACCCTGCTTTGCAACGACAGAGGAGCGCCTGAATAAAGACCGAGTAGAAGTTACTTTCAATCCAGCCAAGGTTTGAATTGCTTTTGAATTTCTTCTGCCAAGCTACCACACACCGGCAAGCTGATCGAATCACTTGACGCCTCTGTGCCCTTGCTTTCTGTAGCGTTCCACCACGGCCCCGAACCGCGACCAGCGAACACCGCTCACTGTGGCTGGTGAGTTTGACCCAAGGCGGTCGCGCGCACGCCTTTTTCCCCAGAATATAGATCGCCTGCTTGGGGTGTGGTTCAAGCTCATTCACCAATCTGCTCGGATCGTAGTCTTCCCCAACGCCCTTGAGAAGACTTACCGTTTCATGTATGAAAAACTTTTGGATCGCGCTGCCATTGTGGATCTACTCATCGACGATCGGACTGAGCAGTTGATAAAGAAGAACAAGCTGCTCCAACCTGCAGTACCGGCTGTTGGCGATGATCCCAAAAAGGAACAGGAGACCCAAGAGCGCATGGCGAGTGTGGCAGCCCCAACACAAGACAACGTCCTTGTTGCGGGCCGCGTGTGTGTAGACGCTGGTGACGATGGTCGCCTAACGGCTCACAACATGGTGCTTGAGGTACGATGGGTTGGCCATTTACCCTCGGCAAAGTGCCTGTCGTGCTCGGGCCGTGGAGCCCAACCTGACGTTTGCAACTTATGCATGAGTAGGGCTCGACCGAGACCTCCAATGGCGCTCGCACTTCGCTCAATGTTCAAGACATGTCCCAGTTTGCGTGCTTTCCTGGCCAGGTGGTCGCCGTTGAGGGCTCCAACTCGGCCGGTGATTGCATTCACGCCAAGTCCATCTTTAGCGTGCGTCACCATGAGTATCTGAGGCTTTGCTGCCTTTATCTTGCCCCTTGGCCGCGATTGGGCAGAAGCTGGCACTCACGCTGGGATTACCGGTGTGTATAGGATGCCTCAGCACCGCACGCTCGCACTCGGCCCAGTGAACTACTCGACTATTACTTCAAAGACAACAGCAGCGAAGAGCAAGCTCTGGACATTATGGTGGCAACAGGCCCCTTTTCGACCTCGGACAACCTAGGGTGCGCGCCTAAAAAGCTAAAGCCGCCCGCTTCGGTCCCTCTCCGATTGCTCGCTCTGACCACGGTGACCTGCACCAACAGGTACCAACCTCTGATCGACCTCCTCGTGGTGGTCGAGAACAACGCTCCAGACGTCCTCATCCTACTCGGCCCTTTCATCGACATTGAGAACAAGAAGGTCGAGGTGCGTGTCGCACTACGCTCCCGTGTCACGCCAGGGCGCACCCCTCCTGCCTCAAGCCACTGGTATACCGCCACCTAACTTCTGATCGGTTTGGCAATCGCAGAGAGCTGACCTGGATCAAACTTTTACTCAACTTTTTGATGAAATGATTGAAAAAGTCTGGGCCAAAGTCGAGCCCTTGTCTCACACACATGTCATTTTTATCCCATCGCTGCGCGATGCCCATCACGACTTTGTCTACCCCCAAGGCCCGCTATCCAGCTCACACGCCAAGTTACTCGAACAGGAGGTGTGCTCGCAGCTGTTTGATATCTCCTGCATTCATGGCAATGACAAGGGTTGTTTGCAGAGCAGTCAACCACTCATGCCGAACCTTGCTTGTATTTGAATTCCAACCAGCGCATTTTTTGGTTTCCCAACCCTTGCACCTTCAAAATTCAAGAGCTGGTTTTTGGCGTCAGCAACACGGACATCTTGATGCATCTTTCCAAGCAAGGTGTGTCGTCAATGTCACCGGAGATTGATTGTCAGCAGGCCAAGGACCCGACCAGACTGTGTCTGTGTCTGTGTCTGTGTCTGTGTCTGTGTCTGTGTCTGTGTCTGTGTCTGTGTCTGTGTCTGTGTCTGTGTCTGTGTCTGTGTCTGTGTCTGTGTCTGTGTCTGTGTCTGTGTCTGTGTCTGTGTCTGTGTCTGTGTCTGTGTCTGTGTCTGTGTCTGTGTCTGTGTCTGTGTCTGTGTCTGTGTCTGTGCCTGTGTCTGTGTCTGTGTCTGTGTCTGTGTCTGTGTCTGTGTCTGTGTCTGTGTCTGTGTCTGTGTCTGTGTCTGTGCCTGTGTCTGTGTCTGTGTCTGTGTCTGTGTCTGTGTCTGTGTCTGTGTCTGTGTCTGTGTCTGTGTCTGTGTCTGTGTCTGTGTCTGTGTCTGTGTCTGTGTCCGTGTCTGTGTCCGTGTCTGTGTCCGTGCCATGACAAATCGCGCTGCGCTCTGCTCTATAGAATCGGCACACAATGCAGGGTCAGATCGCATGGCGCGGTTAGCCCATCACCTGATTCAACAGCGAAGCTACTATCCCTTGCTACCCCCGGACCAGAGCGTCCCCCTCAACTATGCCCACATCGATCACGTGGCCATGCCTGTCACACCCGACGTGCTCCTTGTACCGTCTGACCTCCGGTTTTTCATCAAGGTATGCAGCTGCAACGTGCGTACTGTGCGCCAATGAGACGCCCTTTGACTTACGAATTTCTTTGCGCATAATGAATCGTTGCCCTAGGAGGTGAACGGCTCGCTTATCATGAACCCGGGTCGTTTGACCAAGTACACCATGGGTGGAACCTACGGGCGTATGGTCATTCACGCGCCGCGTCGCAATGACATTCCTGAAGGCAAAAAAACCGTTTATTCCAATGTGATAGATCGCACAGCTGCTGCCATCGTGCGCATCTAAGGCATCTGTGGTACTTCTTTAACCGCTACGTCCTGTCCTGTAGTGGTTCGATGTGACACTGTGAATGAGTTGTAGTGAGAGCTGCGCATCGACCAGATTTTCTTTTCTTCTTTTTTTTTTGGACCTGAATTGATTATGTGCATCCAGCTTGTGCACAACCGCAGCTACCCTCACTTCGAAAGCCCAACGCCAGTGTGCACTCTTCACCAAATGGTCAGGACCAACCATGAGGTGCCAACAGACCCGAAAGCCATCCAGTCTGAAACTTGTGACGAGTCACGAGACTCGGCTATGTACGTGTGCGTTTTGCGTGTGCTGAATTTACTACTGCTTCATCTTCTCACTTGTTTGCAGCAGTATCTTAAAATACATAAACTCTAGTACATTAACAGCTGCAACATCTTCTACAAAACGCGCGTCATCTTCTCCTGGTTTGTGTGTCAGCATGAATTGCTTTCGTTCATTTTTTTTTTTTTTTTTGCAGTACGTCGGATCAGCGGCTGCCTGCCATCTCCCGCGAGACGACGGCGGGGTGGGCAGACGGACGGACGAGTCGCATGAGTCACTCTTGGTTCTTCTCATTCGCTTGTCTGTGTGTGGGTGTGGGTGTGGTTGGGTATTGCGTGATACAGCCATGTCGCAGCAGCTCCCCTTGACGAACGACGCATCGCGCTTCGCAGCGCACCTCCAACCCGGAGAGCAGGTTCGTGAACTGCTTCCTCCCACGGCGCCCCTGCGCTAGCAACAACTCACGACTCACGCCTCACTTGACCTTGACCATGGCTGGCCGCGAATGGAATAGGTGGTGCGGGTCGTTCGATCCCAGGACCCCTACGCTGTTGTGCGCGAACTGCGCCCCCTGGCTTTTATCGGCATCTTCTTGGGCCTGCTCTTCGTCGTCCCTGGCATCTATGGCCTCATCTTTTGGATCGGCTATGCCTCCTCCATGAAGGGTGAGTCATTTTGGGTTTTGCTTCCTCCGCCATCGCAGAGATTGCGCATCATTGACATCTTTTCTCGGCCTTCGCTCGCTCTCATGTGATATATCACTCGCGGTTGTCTTGTATCTAATAGGCAAGGCTCGCAACGGCGCCCTCATCGTCACCAACAAGGCCATCTGTATGTGTGACCTTGACTTTTTTTTTGCTTTTTCCTTTTTGGTTTTCTCGGATGCACATGCTTCTATGCTCGCACTGGGCTTGCCGACGTTTGCGATATCTGGCTCACCTACTCGCCTGGCCTTGACTGCTGCCTGGCCTTGACTGCTGTGCAGACATGTATACTGATCCCTATCCTTTCCTGGGTACGTCAGGGTGCAAACCTTTTCAACACACGGGTCCTTGTCTTGACTGTTTGTTACGACAATGTTTCATTCTCTACCTCTGTTTTGCCCGGCACACTTAGGCTGCTGCTTCCCCTGCATCTTCACCACGGCGCGCACGGTATGAGTATAGGACTGTCTTGCGCCGTGCCGTCTCATGCGCCTAATGCGTCTTATGCTCAAGCACCTCCTTGGTCTGGCTCTGTCGATTGCAGGTGAAGCGCTACGCCTATGACCAACTCGACGACGCTCAATACCTGGTCCCTGGAGAAGGCACCTGGCCAATGCAAGGCTATCGTATGTGATGATTTTATGTTTTGTTTCGACCTGTTTTCTGGGCTTTGCTGCTTGTTCGTATCATGCCCATCGCTTCCCAGAGGATTGTCTGACTTATGCGCATTTAATGTCGCCTTGAAAGATCGTTTGACTCTGGAAGTCCGCGACAACCCCAACCGTCCCGTCACCACCCACATTGCCATCTATCAGCCCGATCAAACCGGGGTTCGTCACAGCTCGGCTCAGCACATGCTTCCCATGCTACCTCTTTCTGCACATCTTATTCCACAATGTTGTCTCACTTGTTTTGCTTGACTGTTGATATCACGCCTGTGGATCGGTATGGTGTGGCGATGCCTGCGTCAAATGAACGGCTGCAGGACGTGGTTCAAACAATCAATGCGCTCAAGGACGCTAACATGCGCGCCGCGACTACCTCCAACAGCACCATTGTGGTAACGGTAAGCCCGTCTGCCCGTCTGCGTCTTGCTTTGCCTTGAAGCCGTGTAGCAATCTTCTACCTGCCCTTACTCAACCAGCGACGACATCCTTGCCGTTGGGGCATGATGCATTGATGGCCATGACTAGGTACCCCAGCAAGGCGATTCCAAGATGCCCTCGGCACCCTATCAGCCGACCCCGGCGCCTTCATTTGCCACCGCCGCAAGCGCAGCCCCCCCGCCGCCTGCATCCTATCAAGGATATCAACCCACCGCCGCCACTGCCCCCGCCGCCACTGCCCCCGCCCCCTATCCTGCGCCTAGCTACAGCGAGATGCCCCCACCTTACAAGTAGTAGCCGCTGGTGGCCAATTGATATCCTGAGTGCCGTCGCGGCGAGTTGAGTGTATGCCATGGTCCACAATCCAAGACAGAGTCATTGCCTCGGTGTGTCCTGTTCGTGTTTTCTCGATTATCAATCAATTGAGTGAATTAAATGTAATTTTTCGCGAATTTTGACCATCTTGTTCAGTTTATTGCTATTTTTCTCCGTTTTCCAAGCCAGTACCGTCCCCCCTTCTGCTGGAAACACGTCGATTGAGGCCAAGACGGGAAGCCTGATTGGGGAAGTGTACTACTGAATGGACGGCTGGAAGGTTCTGGATTCAACGGGCTCGATTCAACCCAAGCTCAGAGTAGCGCTCCGAAAGAAAACATTTGCAAATGTTAGGTAGACAAAACTTGGAACGATGAATGGACTCTAATCTAGCTGCGATTTAGGATTGAGAAAGCAAGCAAGCACCGATCGAAACAGGTCCAGTGAGCATGCTGGTGCTTGTGCTACGCCTCAAGTCCCCCTCAAACAGATGCGTACAAGTCAAGCGAGCTGTCAGTCAATCAGGGATCAGCTGGCACTGTGCTCATCAGTCTTCGACGCTCACACACACACACACACACACACACACACACACACACACACACACACACACACACACACACACACACACACACACACACACACACACACACATCGTTTCTCTGACATCAGCACACACAACATCGGCAAGCGACTAGAACGTGTATATGAATTCAGACTTGTTGCTGTACGTAACGTGAAGGTACATGACTTTTCAAAAGGGTTTGTGCGCCATTTTTTCAAGTTAATGCTGCTGGTGTTGATGTTGATGTGGATTCAAGATGGCAGACCAAGGAGCTCTGGCGCTGCATCGCGCCGCCTATGATGGTGCGTCGAGGGATGGCTGGAGGCATTGCCGTGCAAATGCTCACACTGCTGGTGCTTGATGCGTGTCCTGCTACCGTCTTCGTGGGCCCTCCGATGGCATTGATGCGCTGGATTGAGATAGGTGACCTGCAGGCCCTTCAGACGGCGCTGCGGAAGAAGGACTGTGACGTGGACGCGCGCGACAAGCATGGTGAGCTGACACCACAAGCGCCTGACTGCCGACTTTGAGGATGAGTTGACTTGTTTTGCACCTGCACCGTCCGACTCACGCTGAACCCGTCGTGCCGCACGTTCATGGTTTGCTTTGCCAGGACACACGGCGCTCATGCTGGCTGTCTATCGTCAGCACGAGGTACACCGTGTTGATGATCCTGAACGGTGTTTGTCTGTATCGCATTAATCTGTATCGTTCTTCAATCATCTCATCCGGCCGAATTGCTGGATCAGGCTGTGGCCGAGGCCTTGTTGGCTGCGGGTGCCGAGATCGATACCAAGACCAAGGACGGCTGGCCCGTGCTGTGCGAGGCCATTGGCATCGGAAACACGCCCATTTGTGAGTCGAACATTGTGCATCAGCACGTCCATGCATGTGCTCGCTGCTGACCACGCCTTGCTGCGGCTTGCCGCTTGCTAGTGTCGCGCCTACTGGATGCGCAGGTGCAGCACGACTTGAGCGAGACCAAGGCAAAGTCGGAGGAGTTTCTGCAGGTGCTGGCCGCACGGCCCGACTTTCAGCTTCGCATGCACTGGGACGTCCACTCTTGGGTATGATGACCTTGACACATTTTGCTTCTTGAGTGTGCACTTGTGCATACTCGATACTTGAGCGTCTCTGCCCGAGACGATTGCCATTCAGCGCCCGCGCTGTGGTTGTGTAGGTGCCGCTGGTCTCCAAAATGTTGCCACAAGATGAGGTGACGCTGTACAAGCGCGGATCAGAGCTGCGTCTCGATACGCACTTGGCCATCTCACCCTCAGGCATTGGGCGTGGGGACATGACAATCATCATCCGCAATGATGGCCGTGGTTCGTGTTGATTGATTGCCCGGGCCCCGGGCCGTATGCTGTAAACTTCTCATTCCCCTGTGGTTGTCGTCGGTTGGCACCAGATGGCTTAATGCTGTATCATTTGAATCACGAGAAGCGCGGGTATTATCGCAAGCAGGTCTTTGACGTGGGTCACATGACCCCAGAAAAGCGCGACATGATGCTGGAGGACTTGCAGACGACTGAGCAGGTGGACGTTTCAATTGATGGTTCGTCAGCTTCTTCCCAAACGTTGAGGCTTTAGGCTTGCTTGTGTGTTGGCATGCACGCAGCAGCTCACGTCGTGGGCTCGTATAGTGGATCATGCCGTGTGCACTCGAGCGTTGTCTGGTATTTATGGCTTTCGCACCGAGCGACAGGAAACCATTGGTGAATATGAGGTGCGTGAGCCGCCTGAAAATTCCACCCTAAATCCAAAGGGATGCAACGAGGCCAGACGCTTTGCCCCGGTCAAGCGTCCGCCGGGCTGTATGACCTAATTGTCCATTTGCTAGCTCGGCCTTGGTTCTGCCTGTTGCCGTTGTGCGCGCGGAATCCGCCTCTCCTCTACTCACTGTGGGTGTCTGCACAGTGCGACGTGTATGATTTGACCCAGGTTGGCGTGGTGTCCAAGCACCGCGCCGAGCATCTGACGCCAGAGTTGCGGGCGTGGCGCAAGGCGCTCATTGCCCGCATGAAAGCTGCGCATGCTGCTGGTCGTCCAGCACATGAGGGGCGCCGCAATTCCAAGTGCTCGGCCGATGGAGACGACGTGAGCCCAGAAGACGTGCCCTCTGATTCAGCAGACAGTGATGTGGACGAGGATGCTTCCGCGCCGTTGGATCAGGTGGCACGCACCAACCATAATGGGGATGACGAAGAAGAGTATCCGGTATGTAAGCGCTTGCAACTTTGCGCACTGTGGCCTCTGTGCATGTTCATCATCGCCGCTCTTCTTGACCCTGCCTCTGCTTTTCGGTCTGACTCAGGACCCACCCTTGAGCTCGCTGCCTCGGCACGAGGCCCCCGCAATCACGTTTGATGAATATCAGGCCAGCGCCGACCCACCCTATCTGGGTCGCCCCTTTGTGTGTACCACATGATGCTTATGATTTGGACGTTGCGAACCATAAAGTTGAAAATACTTACAGGTGCCTCGTTGTTCTTGCTTTTGCTTGTTTGTGTAGACTACAAAGGACAAGCGCAAGAATCATCGGGCAACACTGTGGTAAGACGGTTGTACCCTCCACACTCCGGCTCGCATTGTGATTGGTTTGGGGAAATGGCGGGGGATTACAGGTGTGTCTCACGATTCTGTTTGGGTAGGATGCACCAAGGCTTTCCACTCACCATCGAGCACCTGGTCACGCTGCTCGAGGCCGTGGCACCCACGGATCCCATGATTCATTCGATGACCACCTTTCTGCAGCAACGCCTGCCCCCAGGCTTCCCCGTCAAGCTGGGTATGTGATGTGGCTTGAAAGTGAAGGTGTTTTGCAAAAGAGGCATGACAATTTGGCGCTCAGCGCGGAAGCGAGGTCATGGCCAGAAACACTTGGCAATATCAACGGCATCGAAACAAGGGTAGAGGGTTGGATCAAGCTCATGCGTTGGCATTGGCACCCGTTGGGCTCGTAGACATCCCCGTCTTTCCGACCGTGTCGGCACGCGTCACTTTTCACCACTTTGAAGAGCGAGCGATAGAGGCCGAGTTGTTCGCCATTCCAAAGGATTATCGTCTAATGGGTGTACGGGCGGTGGCGAGCTCGACAGCATAAAAGCGTGCAAGGCCGCATCGGGTGTCCAATCCAGGTTGTTACGGAGTCTCAGCTTGTCGACCAGCCGTTTTTTTAATAATTTGGTCGACGGGAGCATGGGGATAAGGGGTCGGTGGGAAGGGAATGGCGAGGTGCGATACACGTTGCAAAAAAAAAAAAAAGGTCAAGCGTAAACTCAGGAGGCGTCAGGACCGCGGAGGCCGCGGGGCAAGAGAATGGAAGAGGCGGCGCCTTGCGATTCGTCCTGGGTGGGTGATGAGGTGCGATCAGAGGCAGCGCTCTGAGCTTGGCGCTGCAGGTCCAGCATGTGCACCAAGGCTTGATCAGCCAGCGTGGCATCGCTATCTGTGGCTTGACCCGCCTGCTTCTCTTCAAACAGACCGCCAAGGACATGCTAAGCAATGGGGCAAGACGAGAGGAGATGCGCATTGGCAAACAAAGGAAGGGAGGAGGGTTGGGTGATCATCAGTGGTATGATGGCGTGAGGGGGCAGGCAAGGTCATGGGCATAGCAGACCGTACCATTTCTACAGCAGGCATGTCCGTTTTGTTGGACTCTGGACGCTGCTCCTGACCGGCATCCTCATCGTCCTGGCCGACCTCGTCCTCATCGTCATCGTTTTGGTCTTCAATTTCTGGTTCACAGGCAGACGAGGGCACAGGTGCTTGCGAGGCCTGTTGCAAAAACATCTGGGCTCGCGCCAAAACTAAAGCAAAGGTAGAGCATACGGTAGTCGTGAGACGCGCGACGGACAGAGCAAGACAGATGGGCCAGCAAGTGGTCACGCGAGGCCAGAACAGGTCATTTCAAGAGACAGCATACCTCCAGAAGCCCCCTGCGGAGCGTCCGACTTGAAGAGCAACCGCCGAAAAGCCTCGTGGGACGACGAGTCACCACCACCACCAGCACCAGCAGCCACACCATGGACACCATCCCCAGCCGCCGTCGCCGGCGCGGCGAGCGTGGGCAGGTGGTCAGCCATCTCCAACGCCGCTTTGCGATTGTGCGACAAAAACTACACTTTATCTGCATCAAATGTCAGAAAAATTGAGCAACGAATTGTCAGACGAGTTGTGAAAATGGTTATGGTCACTGTTTTCACACAACCAATCAACCGGGGGGCGGATGTGAGTGCCACACCTGACGTGTAATGTCAAAGCTGTAATGCACATGAAGCTGCCACACGTGTGTGTAATCCAGCCAAGCACACACACGCACACACACACACACACACGTACAGCAGCAAGCGCAGTCTCTCTCTCATTTTTGGATCCGCAGAGGTGACTGACTGACTGACTGACTAACTGACTTTAATGGATGGCAGCGCAGGAGGAGAGGGCTGGCTGGTGATGGGGGGAGATGCTCACGACAGCTGGGGACAAAGGAGGGTGAAATGCTTTTGGAGGCGGGATTGTCGATTCGTTTGATTCGGGGTGGATCTCGTTATGTTTTTGGTTGGGCAGCATGGCATGGCATGGCGTGCCTCGTGCCTCGTGCTAGATCTTCGGGTCCTCTCGCTCGGCCTGACCTTTGCTCTGGCATGTGTTGATCTCGGTGTGTTGTGTCGAACCTTTGGTAGAGGCAGGCGCGTCGTTGATCGCCAGCATGGATGCCTCCACGTTCTTTGAGCGGACGGTGACGCTCCAGCGCCAAGACCCTAGCCGTCCGTGGGGGTTTGTCCCATCGCGGCAGGTTCTGGACCGGAGCCTAGCAGCACGTCATGCCTTTGGGGCCTTTGTTGTCGGCGTGCAGGAGGGCACACCGGCGCAGCATGCGAGCCTGCTGGATGGTGACTATATCGTGGCCATCAATGGTAAAGATGTCACCGAGCTGCCCTTACCAGACGTCATCAAGCTGATGATCGATAGCCTCAAGATTACGCTGGTCGTGGAATGCTGCGCCGTGCGTGTCTTGCAAATGGGCACTGGCAGCCTCTACAAGGTCCGCGAAGGGCGCCTTTTTCAGCGCGAATTTTGGATCGATCCCACCGGAACCCGTATTCAGTGGCTGAGTCGTACCAAGGGTTCACGCGAGGCCTCGATCCGCGCCTCAGTCCTTCGCGAAGTTCGGTGCGTACCTCTCAGTGTGTGTGTGCGTGTGTGTTGCGCGTGTGTGTGTGTCGCGAAACAATTTGCACCATGTCTTGGATCTCAGCCGTTTCAACTCGGGCATGGCCTACGTGGTCACAACCCATCAAAGCCGCCCACCTCCCCGTCTCAAATCTGACACGACCGATTGTGTATCCACTAGGCCCGGTCGCAAGACCACGAGCTTTCAACGCAGCTATGATAACGGCACACCGGGCTTGCGTGACATGCTGCAGGATGACCTTTGCTTCTCCGTGATTTTTGGCGAGTCCGAGGAGATTTTGGATCTCGTTGCGCCCACCGAATCATTGCGCAACACCTGGGTGCTTGCGCTCAACCACTTTGTGGCTCGTGAGCGCCTTGCCGATCTTGCCACCGTGCCGTACGAAGAACAAAACAGCTTGCGTGATGCCTGGCTGCGTGACATGTTCAATCAGAGTGACTTGAACAACGACAAGCAACTCAACCTGGAGGAAATCCGACGCCTCATGCTCCGTCTCAATGTCGCCATTCCGCGCCGCGATCTGCGGCAGCGCTTCATGCAAGCCGACCGTGATAAAAAGGGGACCCCGGGCTACGGTCAGCTGGATTATAAGGAGTTTGCCCGTTTTTTCAAGGTTTGTCGACCTCCCATGCCTGTTGCTGCTCGACGTGGGGTGCCCTGCACGCGGCCCATTCTCACATGCCGACTTGTGACGACCAGGCCCTTGTGGCTCGCCCCGAGTTGGGTGCGCTCATGAACAAATACGGCTCGCGATCCGGCGGCGTGCAGTCTGCCGGAACCACCGACACATTCGATGACGCCACTTTAAGCCCAGAGCAGCTTCAAGTCTTTCTGCGCGTGGAACAGGTGAGCATGCGCCTGCGCTGCGCTGGTTACTTGTCGAGCCCACATGCCTTTCATCCGTAAACGCGCATGTTTGATGATGCAGGAGGAAAAGCTATCGTTGGAAGAAGTCGAGGCTATCATCAAGCGCTTTGAGCATGCCCGCGACGGTGCGTGGTTTCATTTTAGTTTGCACCTTGGCCCGCTGCTGCCCATACATCCTTTCAAGCTCTGATCAATTGCACTCAATCCATCGCTTTGGTTTGTGCACCTTGGTCGTATGCGTGATTGGCTCCTACAGATGGATTCATGGGCATTGACGGCTTTACCAACATGCTGACCGACCCCTCGGCGAGTGCTTACAAGCAGCAACACCGATCTGAGGTTTACCAGGATATGACACGCCCCCTCAGCCAATACTTTATCGCTTCCTCCCACAACACCTACCTGATGGAAGACCAGCTCTATGGCTCTTCAGACGTTGAGGCCTACATTCGAGCGCTTCGCATGGGCTGTCGCTGCGTAGTACGTGTCGTCTTTTCGCTCAGCACCCGGCGCAGAATGGTCGCGCCCGCATGGTTTTGTCACACCTGACCGTGCTCTCCACGTGCATGGAACTTCTTGACGCATTGGTCTTTCCAACGTGTTACCCCTCCACGTATTTTTTTTTTTGCGTCTCAGGAAATTGATTGTTGGGATGGCGAGGACGGCGAACCCGTCGTCTACCACGGTCATACCTTGACCAGTAAGGTGCGTTCAACCTGCGTCCAGAACGTGTTTGACTCTGCTTTTGTTTCAATTGTGGTTCTAAGATTTCTTCCCCTCTTCTGCCTTGCCTGGACGATGTATGCGGCTACACAACCAGGTGTTGCTCAAGGATGTCATCAACGCGTGCGCCGAACACGGATTTGTGACGACAGACTTTCCTCTCATCCTGTCTATCGAGAATCACCTCTCCATTCCTCAGCAAGACGTGAGTAGTGTTTTTATCATTGCCCGCTCTTGGTGTGCCGTCGGCCTTGTCCTGAATGAGGCACTGATTTCCGGACCGGCTTCCACTGTGCTACTGCATCCCGACACGGCAGAAACTGGCCGAGTACATCAAGGCTGCTTTTGGAGAGCGGCTGGCTGTTGTGCCCTTTTCCACCGAACCCATGCCCTCTCCCGCCTCGCTCAAGGGCAAGGTGATTGTGAAGGTGCGAATGTGGCAATCGCGTTGCATAGATCCTGCCATCATCTTGAACATGCAAAACCATTTCATACATCCCTTGCCAACTCCTACCTTCCATAGGGCAAAGTCAACCCAGCGTCCGCCTCTGGCGACGGCGCTGTCAGTGACGAGGACGAAGCATCTGAAGGTACAACACCGCCTGACCTGAGCATGCGGTGTGATATCTTCCGCTCTGTATTCATTCTTGTGGTTGGGTGTTTGCTGAATCAATAGCGTTTGAGGACATGTCCTCGAGTGGGCAGTCCGAGCTGAAGAGCCAACCTCGTGCCGTTCGTACGCGTGTGAGTAAGCAAGCCAAGGCGCTCAAGCGCCACGCGCGCGGCAGCAAGGACGGCGCCAGCGCCAAGAGCAAGCTTGTTTCCCCTGCTTTCTCCAACATCGTGTCGTTGTCGGGTGTCAAGTTTAAAGGTATAGTTGAGCTGACTCAACGCGATTCAATTTTGTGTGTGCTGCGCTACCTGGTTTGTGCGTGTGTGTAGAGCACTTCTCATTGTGATGCATGTCATCACGTACAATCCTTCTTTAGGTGTGGCCCAACTGCAGCAGAGCTTTACGGAGCAAAAGGCCATGCAAATGTCTTCCTTTGGCGAAAAGCGTGCCATGCGCTTGGTGGAGAATGAGCACGATACAAATGTCTTTGTCCGGCGCAACGCACGCCAGCTGGCCCGCACGTACCCCGCTGGCCTGCGTGTCTCCTCCAGCAACTACAACCCTCAGCCCATGTGGAACGCTGGCTGCCAGATTGTAGCCCTAAACTACCAAACGCACACCCTTCCCATGCACCTCAATCAGGTGCGAGCGCTTGCTGGAGCTTGTTGTCATCACGAGTTTGGGCAGAATTGCTGCTTTTCCGACGCTTATCTACGCTACAATCTAATCATGCTTTGCTGGCGATGGTAGGGTCGTTTTGCGGACAACGGCGGTTGTGGCTATGTGCTCAAGGTCCGTGCTTGTGAATTGGGCGCACCTCGAGTCATGATGCAAACTCTGCGTGCCCCAGATGCTTGCACCTGTTCGCCCTGGCACAACTCATCTTTGGCATGCATGGGTGATTGCATGGGTGATTAGCCGGAGTTTCTGCGATCGACGGAGACAAAGTTTAACCCCAACGACGTGGGCACGCTGGATCCTTCGTTGGGTCGTAAGCTGCGCGTCGAGGTCATCAGCGCTCAGCAGCTGCCCAAGGCAACGGTACGACTTGTCTGCTCTCGTGTCGGGTCTGACAGGCCATTGGCATGAGTTGGGGCTCATCACTCTGCGCATGTCCATGCCTGCACTTCTAGATTGGTGGTCGGGCCACGCAAAAGGGCGAGATTATCGACCCATACGTCATTGTGGGCATCGAGGGCATTCCCGCTGATAGCGCCACGGGACAAACCACGGTGGTCGACAACAATGGTTTCAACCCGCGCTGGAATCAAGCTTTTGAGTTCGACCTTCATGCGCCCGACCTGGCTCTTTTGACTTTTGTCGTGTATGATTACGACGTCAGCAACCAGGACGACCTCATTGCACAGGCCGTGATTCCCCTGACCTCGCTCCAGGAGGGGTACCGTCACGTTCGGCTCTTGTCGGCGACACACCAGCGGCTCTCGGGCACGACTCTTTTTGTGAACATCCAACTTTCTGCTGAAGGTACATGCGCCAGGGCCGGCCTTGTGTTGTTGTCACTCCGGGCCAGTCTCTTTTTTTTGTCTACGGCCTTGTACCACGTCTTTCTTGATGCTCTTCTGCGGCTCCTCATCTGTTGGGCGGCTGGCTTGGATGATAGGCAATGCCTCGGCCGGCGATGCGCGGGCCACCTCGGGTCAACATTCACATGTTGATATTTACAACTCTTCGACTGGGGTGCCTGAACTGGATGACGGCTTTTTGAACTCGCCGTCGATGGCGGTTGATCAGCGGTATCAGAATTTGCTCAAGGCGCTCGGTCAGCTCAAGAGCATTCTCAAGTGTTCATACAAGACCACCTTGGACGAGACCATTGCCGCGTTGGCCAATGCCTTTGGTGCACTGGATACGGCCGTCGAGACAAACGTGAGTAGTGCTGTTGTCGCTGCTTGGGCGCTTGGATGGTCGATGGCTGATCTTTGTGGTGGCGCAGGAGGAGCGCGGGCTGTACATGTTGCAGACAGCAACGACGGGACAGACCAGCAAGGCGGCCGCCAACCTGCTAATGTGCTACAATCGCGTCTTGGAGCGTATGTCCTGGGACGATCATTTCTCTCTCTTCTTTTTCCAGCGTGAAGCCTTGAGCGCCTCATCTTACCAATCGTTTCGTTCCGGGCTGGGGCAGGTGCTTTGGTGTGGCAACAAAAGGCAGCTCTATTCGAGTCGCAGCTGCGCTCGCTGGTCCGGGATTATGAAGCCGTGAGCAGCGAAGAAAAGTTTCGGGCTTTGGCCACCACCTGTGGCGTTCGACCCAATGCCATTGTATGTAGTGACCGGTTGTCGTAGGGGCAACAGCTTCATTGTCCACGAGAATCTCTTTTTTTTTTTTTTGATCATACGGCAACTCACATTGGGATGAATCCGCGTACAATCGACTGCAGTCACGCTGCCGCACCATTGCGCAGGCTCGGTTGCGAGCCATGCGTCAGAGCTTGCGTGCGTTGGAGCACGGAAATCGGTTGACGCAGACGCTGCGTGAAGCGGTAAGCACTTACTTGATTGGCTGTCATGTTGACAGGATCCACCTGTCTTTCGTCCTTGGCTTCTGTCCTTACACTGTTGGCCCTGTCTACCGCGTGTGTGTGATTGCAACGGGCTTTTGCCAGGTTCCCCGATACTTTTCAACTTCGGCTTGAACAAAAAGCACGCGTGAGAGGGTCGGACGAGTTTTATTGTACAGGTGTCCCTGCTCAGGCCCCACCTTTGGCTGGGTGAAGTGTCCGAGTCGTCGTGATCGTGCAGGCCATGTGGTACTTTTGTATTCATTTCAATTAATTTCAATGTCTGAATCACTTCATGGAACGGCATCGCTCCTCAATCTCCAAGCTCAGCTTGTCACAATCTGGTTGTCAAGTGGCAGTTGCAATACCAAGTCTACCCTGTGGGCGCATTGTGGGCATGATCGCCATCGCTCTTCTCTTCTTCATCGTCATCGTCGTCCTCTTCTCCATCTGGTTGAGCAGGGAGGAAGCGGTCAAGACCGTAGTGGAAGAGCAGGTGCTTGCGCGTCTTGTCCGGGGCCAGTGCCAAGAGGTCAGCGACCAGCTGCTCGCAGAGCTGTGTCCAGCGATCGCTCAAGGCGGGCAGCTCGGCGAATTGCTCGCTGCGATACCCCTGCACGAGTCGCAGCTTGTGCAACTGCTTTTCAAGCTCACGCTTACGCTGTAAGAGCGGCTGAAGGTCCTGTTGCGTGTTGTTGGCTCGGGGGGCAAAGTAGATGGTCACGCCGTCAATCGTGCGTTGCTTGACTGGCTGATTCGTCGCCAAAGCATTCGAGGTGTCAAGCGGTGGCGCCTGCTCAAACGGTTCCAGGGACGCCATGGTCAGACAGCTGGGTTGCCTCCGCTTCGCAGAGAGGGAGAGAGGGAGAGAGGGAGAGAGGGAGAGGGAGACGGAAAGGGAGAGAAAGGGATACGGATCACTGTCGCTATCCGCGGATCGACTTTGAACGGATTTGTGCTCCGTCCATGTGCCAGGAAAAACCCCGAATCCGACTCTGGCTGGCGGGAAAACTTTGTCGACAAAGAGGGCTTGGGCGCAATGGTGCATTCAACAACGGCTCTGAACGGCTGACGATACAGTCTGACATCACTGTCTGACATTTGCACTTCAGCAGGGCTACCATCTGTACTTGATGACTACCAAGTGTCAGTGGCGGACGTCGGTGCGAACACGTGTGACATATGCTACACTTTCTCTCACACAACTTTGGTATCCTTCTGTCTTGTTCGTTCCAAAGAGACGAATTGCTTAGAGGGAAAGAGAGAGAAAGAAAGAAGTGGAAGGGAAGAGAGAGAATGAGAAGAGAGAGAGAAGAAAGAAGAGAGAGAGGGAGAGCATGAGTTGTGACAAGAGAGAGAGAGAGAGTTGAGAGAATGAGAAAGAGAAAAGCGAGGAGAGAAAAGCGGGAAGATGGAGAGAAGAGTGGAAGAGACAGAAGTAGAGAAGAGGGAACACAGGAGAGAAGAGAGAGAGAGAGAGTGTGTGTGTGTGTGCTTGAGAGAGAGGGCTCGAGAGTTTGAGAGAGTTTGAGAGAGAGGGCTCGAGAGTTTGAGAGAGTTTGAGAGAGTTTGAGAGAGTTTGAGAGAGTTTGAGAGAGTTTGAGAGAGTTTGAGAGAGTTTGAGAGAGTTTGAGAGAGTTTGAGAGAGTTTGAGAGAGTTTGAGAGAGTTTGAGAGAGTTTGAGAGACAGAGTTTGAAAGGGATTCAGAGAAAGAGAGATTCAAAGAGAGATAGAGAGACGATTTTGTTGTTTTTACGGTTTCATTTTCCCAGCACCTGTTGCTGTTTGCTGTTGCTGTTTGCTGTTGTTGTTGTTGTGGTCAAACGGCAGCGGTACGGTGAGCGGCTGCCGGGTGCGACGGCAGTGGCAGTGGCACTGGGTTTGATAGGGAAGCCAGTGGGGTGCGGTGTAGAGGTGGCCGGCGGTGAGATACAGGGCTATCTAGTGTGGCTGCGGCGTTGTTGCACTCAAGCCGCTGTTGCCTCGGTGCATCGTCCAGTTTGAGCTCAAAGGTGTGTTGGTCTGTTCCGGCGTGCGCTTCGGTCTCGGCTGGCGCGCGGGCAAGCATTGTCTGGCCTTGTGCGCACCTTGAAGCGCTATTGCTCCTTAGCACTTTGCTGTGGTGGCTTGGGGGCCAACTTTTCATCTGTGGCTTGTCCTGCGCATCACATTCGACTACTGCTCCCGCACGCTCACTCACCTCATCGCGTCGCCTGGCACTCTTGTAGCACAGGGTTTGTTTTCTTGGCGTTGTGAAAGTTGCAACGTTTGGTGCAGTGAGCCGAATCCAGACTGTCCGCGGCCATTTTGGGTCCGACCCGTCGCAACACGCAGTCGGCATTGACCCGACAGCGTTTGCTTTCTTATCAAACTCTCAGCGCCTTGCAAACGGCATGGCCTGGGGATTCCGCGCTTGAGCGTTGTTCTTTCTTCCTTTTCGCCACCTGGGCTGGCACCAGTCACATACCGCCTCATTTCCAAGACCACAGTCATGACAACTCCCCCGCTGCAAGTCGTGCCGGAACATGTATGTCGTTGAGCTTTCTCCATGGCTTCTGTTCTGTTCAATTGGCGCTTCTGCCTTGATGATGCATGCCATGGTGTCCCCTCCCGAACTTGCTACGTTTTTGCACATTTCACAGGCAGCTGCAGCGCATGTTCCGACTCGGCTTGATGACGGTGCGCCCCGCTGCCGCTTCGGTGCTTGTATTCAGCAGGCTTGTCAGCATCCTTCAACACAGTCGTGCTCACCATCCGTGTCTCGCCTATTCCACAGAGCGCTCTGCACAGACCATTGGCGAATACATCATGTACAAGGTGCGCTTGTTTGCGACAGCGTGACCACCTCTCTTCTCGCTTTTCTTTTTAAGACGCCATGTGCAGTTTATCTCACCCTCGTCCCACGCGCGACGCAGACCATTGGCAAAGGCAATTTTGCACGCGTCAAGCTGGCCAAGCACAAGCTGACCAATGTTGAGGTGGCAATCAAGGTCATTGATAAGACTAGGCTCAAGGAATCTCACATGCTCAAGGTACGAATGCACTCTTTCCTCCTGCACCGCCTTTTCATGATCAGCGCCACGTCCCAGTGCAATGTTTGACTGAGGATCCCACGCCGACCCGTCTTTTTTTTCATGTTTAGGTCATGAGAGAAGTGCGCATCCTCAAGATGCTGAATCACCCAAACATTGTCAAGCTCTACGAAGTCATTGATACTCCCAAATACCTCTACCTCGTCATGGAGTATGCGTCCGGTGGCGAAGTCTTTGATTACTTGGTGTCCCACGGTCGCATGAAAGAGAAAGAGGCCCGCATCAAATTTCGCCAGGTTTGATCTGCCACCGTGGTCCTCGCTGCCTGCTTTTTTTTTTAAAAAAGAAGAAGAAGGAAAAAAAAAAAAAAACAGCTTCCTTGCGTACTAGGGTTTTACGCCTTCTTACCTGTTTGGACACTTGCGATGCACCATCAGATTGTCTCGGCACTGCAATACTGCCATGCCCGGGGTATCGTCCATCGTGACCTCAAGGTAGGGGCGGCTGGCATTACCCGTTGGTCAAGATGTCTGGTCTTGATTGTCGTGCCACTTCTACCTCACATAGGCCGAGAACCTGCTGTTGGACAAAGACCTGCAAATTAAAATCGCCGACTTTGGTATGTCTTCATGCCTGACCTCCCTGCACCCCGCCCCACAGCCCGCGACCGCATTGTACTTGCCACTTCTTCAACTTGCAAGAGGCTCATTAACCAGCGATCAACCGTGTGTTAGGCTTTGCAAACATGTATGAGCCGGATCAAAAGCTCAACACCTTCTGTGGTAGTCCGCCTTATGCCGCCCCAGAACTCTTTCAGGTGCGTCATAAGCTCAAAGATGAGGCAAATCCACGGATACCTTTATGGTCTCAAATGCCCTGCCTTGACCCGTTGGTCCGCTTCAGGGTCGCGAGTACACTGGCCCAGAGGTTGATGTCTGGAGTTGTGGCGTCATTCTTTTCACCCTCATCAGCGGAGCTTTACCCTTTGACGGATCAACCCTCAAGGAACTGCGTGATCGCGTGTTGAAGGGCAAATATAGGATCCCTTTTTACATGTCCACTGGTTGGTCTTTGCTCTCCATTTCTGTTTCGGTTTGACCGCAGATGCCCCATGGTTGTCGTGGGAGGAAAAACTGGTCCTGAATCTCATTTATTTCTGCTCATGCGCAGAGTGCGAACGGCTTTTAAGAAGATTTCTCGTCTTGACACCGTCCAAGCGCTGCAACCTGACACAAGTCATGACCGATGTTTGTTCCTGCTCGCCATATTTTTTTTTTCAAGTTCACGCTTGTGGCCCAGTTTTTTGCTTTGACACCCGTGCGCTTCAAATTACATGGGTGCTGACCCACCATTGCCGCTTCCTGGGACATCTACACGTAGCCTTGGATCAACACGGGCTTTGAAGATAGCCCTCTGACACCCTACGAGCATCCCACCCCAGATGTACGTTTTTCCATGGCCTGGCTTTGCACGCAGGACCACGTTTGGCTGGCGGGAAAAGCAGGTTGTTTGGAATGTGAAATTCAGATTCGTGCGCTTTTTGGATCAACTAACGCTTCTCCATCGGCGCCCTTCTAGCTCCGCGATCCCGAGCGCTTTGCTCTGCTGGAGAAGCTCGGCTTTAATAAGGAAGAAGTTATCAGCTCCCTTGAGGTATGGCCATACCCGCGCACAAGATCCATGCCATCCCAAGAGGGCTCACAGTGCGGATGTGCGTCTTTCTTGTTTGGATCCATGCAGCGTGATCTGTACGACCAGCACACGGCCGCCTATTTGCTGCTGCCTTTTGCCAGCCCAGACACTTTTAAGCAACACACCAAGGTTTGCCCGCCTCCCTTGCGCTTCTTCACACGTCTGCAGCGTCCTCACAATACATCACTCATGTTAATTGATGCAGCCTGCTCAGACAGCTCGGCCAGCAACGGCAGCAGGCGACCAGACCAAGTCGCCTCGCGCATCAGCACCCAACGCCCTGGCTGGATCTTCGGCCTCAGACCAAGTGGCTCCGACACGAGCCATGCCCACCGCTGGGGGTTCACGAGTGGACCGCCTCAAGCAATTCCAGCGCGCTGGTTCCGGTGGCGCTCCCCCTGGCCGAGGCAAAGCCTTGCCCGCCATCCCCAATGCCCCGCGCCGTCACACTGCCTCCTCGGTCGGTTTTAGTGTGGCAGCACAAGTGCTGTTCGTGCTTTTTTCTGCTGAACAGCTGCCCTTCCTCCTCATCAAGCGACAGCTCAACTCTTTTTGTCGTGTTGTTTCTTCTTTTTTCTTTCATTTTTTTTTCTCCCAGGCTACTGCTGTTCGTCCAACGATCAAGTCAAAGACGGTGGCTGTTCCCGTGGAGCAACTTGCCGCAACGCACTTGAGTGCATCTACGGCAGGCGGACCGTCAACTCATTCTACATCACCAAACAAATCTTCGGCACTTTCCCAGAGCTTGCGCGGTACCCGTACGTCCTGCACCCTACGATTGCACTCTGGTCTTGCATGAGTATCCTGATCAAGACCGTGACTTTTCATCGCCCATTGACTCGGCGACCTTTGGCCATAGGTCGTCGCCGCACCATCACAGAGGGTGGCGAGGCGCCCTCTGAGGACGGCGAGTCGGGTGTCCTCAACCGCATGCGCCGAGGCTTGCGACAGTCGTTCCGCCGTGCATCCTCAACGGGGGTATGCATGCTTGTCCCTCCCTCGTTCCTGCCCCTCCTTTTTGGTACCAGTTGCATCATAGCCGGCCGAGCTTATTCGCTTGCACCTGGGCACTCCTCTCCTTTGCTCGGTGGCGTGGTGTGTTTAGGCGCCAAAGCCCCGTGCGCTGCGTTTTACGTTTAGTATGACCAATACCAGCACGAAGGAACCCGAGTACATTCTGCAGGAGCTAAAACGGGTTCTCGCCCTGAACGATGTCATCTTTGAAAATTCGGATGACTTTTGCCTGCTGTGCGAGCATGGCGATATTGTGTTTGAGATGGAGGTGCGTACTGAGGGCGTCGATTTCATTCGTGTCTCTGGACGGTTGGTTGCTCACGGCGGAACGGCTCATCATAGGTTTGCAAGCTACCACGCTTGCTCATGAATGGCATTCGTCACAAGCGTATCTCAGGCTCATCTTTGGATTATAAGAACATTTGCACCAAGGTGCTCAATGAGACACAATTATAGGGAATGGAGATTTTTGTGCCCCCTCGCGGTGGCTCTTTTTTTTTAGGACGTCATGTTGTGTTTTGAAAGTTTGAACCGTTGTATTGACTATCTTCCATGTGCGGCACTTGCTGTTTTTCGGCGGGTGTACTTTTGCTTTCCCATGGCCAAACCCCCAGGGGATGGCCATTGGGGATGATAGTACCCGCAGCCATGCGCTGGTGAGAGAGCTGCTTGTTTGCGTGAGTGTCATCCGATGATTGTTCCTTTTGCTTGCTGTCTTGCTTGAGTTTGTGTGTGGTGCAAAGTTTCACGGCTGGATTTGCGTGTATTCGGTTGTCACCCCTTGCACCGTCGTTCGGTTGATGCATGCGGTGGTCCTGTGCATCGTCAGGAATATACTATCAATTCTTTTCTCCGCTTTAATGTCAAATTCGTTCCTCAGAGAAAGGAGGGTCTTCACGCCAGAGGTAGGCTCATGATCTCATTGAACGAAACAAGGGGAGCACCGCGTTCCAGCTCCAATGCCTCAAGTAGCAGTTGGGCCGATTGAAGCGTGTCACCAGTCTTGTCCAGCGCGTCGGCAAGCAGCACGCGTGCCTAGCGGGATTTCAATTTCCAGGCAGCCCAAGCGAACGTGACATCATGCTCGGGCAGATTGGCAAGCGAGGTCAAAAGATTTTATGGCCAGTACCTTCAAGTGGGTCGGGTGAAGTTGGAGGACGGTAGACAAGCGATTGATGCCCATGTCCACCTCGTCCCGCGCAAGAAAGAGTTCGCCCAGTAACAGCATGCTGTTGATGTGCAGCGGATCCAGAGCCAGGCAATGCTCAGCTGCCTCGATTGCGCTATCCACGTTGCCTGGTGTTGGACAGGACAGGAAACTTGAGGGTGAGCAAAGCAGAGATACCCGCCTGCCTTCCGCCGCTCCTTCCAAAATGCACGCACCACGGTATCGCTCAAGCAGTGCCTCGCAATAGTGAGACTCGACAGGATGTGCGCCGGCGCGGACGGCTTCACGAAGGCTACTCTCGGCGTTGGTCGAATCATCCAGCGCCACGAAACACTTCAAGGTTACTAGCCAGAGCTGCAGAGCAAAAACCAGGCGCAATATGAAGACATTGACCAGGATGTGTCTCAAGATAAGCGAGGACATGACGCAGCTCCTCCTGCGTGGGATGACTTACGTCGGCCGCAAACGACTTGACGCGGGCAGTCGCTTGAAGGTGTGAAACAAGCGAGGAGTCGGGCAGCAAGCTCGTGCCCGCCCTACCATGGACAAGACACCAGACGTTGTGAATGCCGTCTCCAGCTACAAGCATGCATCGTCGAGTGCCAACGTACCACTCGGAGAAGAGGGACGACTTATCGTGTGACATTACGCTTTGCTCTTCCGACAGGTTGTCCAGACCCGCAGGCAGAGATTCTGCATCCCTATATTGGGTGTGACGATGAGGCGAAAAGCGGAGCAGCTGAAGTTGATTGCTGACTCAGAATCGAGGGGCCATTCTTACAGGTTGTCTTGTTCAAAGAGCAACGAGTTGATGAGCATCAGAGTCTCTTGAGGGCCCTCTGTGAACCAGCGGTGATGAGCAACAAAGAGTGAATATGGGATTCACTGGTTTGGAAGAGGCGCCAGGGGTGATCGGAAAGCCACAAGCTCACCTCGATATGTCACGAGATCGCACAGTGTAAGCAGCACTCGAGGATCCAAGTCCCGGCGCGGTAGCAATTCCAGCAACACAGCCATCGCTTCATCATGCCTGTAACGGGAGCAAGGGATGCGTGAAAATGACGAGCCCCAAGTTTACCAAGCGATGGTGTGTCACGGAGACGTGCCGGTCTAGGGCGGTCAGAATATTGGCGTGCAGGTGAAGTAGATGACAACTGGCATCTGGTTGACGAGCGGCTCTGCGCACACGTGATGTTGCAAAGCGTGAGTCGCCGTTCAGAAAACAACAATGAGAAAGAAGAACCCAAGGTTTGGCGTCAGCTTGCACACATACGTGGCACTGATCAAGGCGGCATGCTCTAGCTGCTGCGCCAAGCCCCAAGTTTGCACGGCCAGCTCGGCCTCAACGCTAGTCAGGTCAGTGGTCATACTGGACGCATGCACCAGTCCACGTGAGGTTGAAAAGCGTGCACCATCGACACGGTGTGAGAAGCGAATGCCAAGCAGAGCCACAAAGGGATAATGACGTACGCTTCGAGCCGCACGACCATGTCCTGTGCCTTTTGCAGATGCGCGAGTTTGGTAGCAGCACGGAAGCCACGCTTATAAAGAGCAAGGTATGTTTGCGCCAGCGCCACATGAACGAAACGAGAATCATTGCTGGTTTGATCTTCCACGCGCTTTGCCAGTTCTTCAATCTACGCTCAGGATTGAGGATTCGGGCACACTGTGACTTGAAGGGCCAAGTTATAGGTGTATTTGAACCAGGGCAGATGGCTTACGTCGTTGACGTCTGTATCGAGGGCAATCGAGGTCTGAAGCAGAAGGCAAGCGGCAGTTGTCCAGCGCTCGAGGTCATCTGCAAAGGCCTCGTTGACCAGCATTTGCAGGATGCGCCGACGACGCAGGGAGGTGCTAGTGCGGTAGAGCCGGGCACAAAGACACAAAGGACCCAGATCCCACAGCGGTGAGTTTGGCGTTGTTCGGGAAGGGCATGCGTACTTGGCGTACTTGCTTACGGGTTGAGGGAGAGGGCAAGCCAGAGCATCCGAATGTTGCCTTCGGCTGAAAGGCCGTGAAAATGCAAACCGTCTTCGAGAATCTATTGTCAACAACATGGGCGCAGAGAGATGACGGAAGCGAGGTCGATCATGGAGTGGTGAGGAGTCGGCGAGGCCAGCCGACGCGGTCTCCCCGTAATGAATATTGCTGGTTTGCGTTGCGCGAGGCGTACCTCGGTCAAGACCTCAAGATCAAGACGTTGGCTAAACACGTCAACTAGAGCTGCAAGATCCTTCTCTTCAGTTGAAGCCGCCAGACCTTCCCAGAGCTGGATATAAATGACCAGGAGAATAGCAAAGAAGAGGAACATAATGAGCGCGCCTGGGTGCTTGGAGGTAGCAAGCAGGCTACGGGGCGGTGGATGCATGCGGCAAGTCGAGATGGCGAACCGCTCTCAGTTGATCGCCGTCCGTGACGCTGCAAGATAATATAAAAATAAAAATAAAATCCCACAAGCAATTGCGGTTGGGCAAGAGAGAAAGACCAAGGTTGAGATTTGCCATTCTGCCCGGTCTGGCCGCATACAAGCGAGTGTGGCAGGAGTCAGATCGTACCGTCGTTGAATTTCCACCGAGTAGAAATGAACGAGCGGTGTGAGGCGGCCACGAATGATGGCAGGCACTACAAGATCCAAGAGGGTCGATGCACGTGTTAGGTTTGGTTGCTCAGACACCAGGACGGCTGCAAGTTGACGACAAACCGGCGTGGCTGCACATGATCTGGACCAGGCGCTCGGCCGCAGGATCACGATCGTGTGAGGCCACGACCATGGCTATGGCGTGGGCCACGTCCTTGCATAGTGATTCAGCCTAGGCAACGCCGGCGCCGTTCGTGTGAGGAGTGATAGTGATGGATCAATGTCGTTGAACCGAGGAACGATCACGAGGGTGGGATTGAGGTGAGGGTGGACGGACGAAAACGGTATAGTCGGCTTCGATTGGCGTCATGCGTCGCTGAGACAGTGCCTGGACGGCCTGCGCGGAACAAGATCAATGGAAAAGAGAAAAAAAATGAGTGCGAACAGAAAAAGGTTGTAGTCAGGTATTATCCTTGCGCACGCACCTTTGTGAAAAAGCCCATCTGTTGATGCTGGTGTTCGGCGCATAGAGCCACTAAACACAAGCAGGTTGAAGGCGAGAACAGCCGGCATGAGAAGCAGTCACAAGAAAACTTAGCGAATCGGTCTTGCGAGGAAAACGGCGTACTGTGCATGGCGCAAGTTTGAAGCAAGACCAGGCGCTCGAACAGAGATCCTGACTGACACACAGGGTCGGCAGTGTCGATACATTTCTGCTCGGGCGGCGCATCGGGTTGAGCAAGACACGCAAAGTCATGGAGGCACGCGGGCGACATCGGGAACGGGGCGCACCAAAAAGTCGTTGTGCAGCTGGCCGGCATCGCCCAGGCGATACTGAAGCTGACACTTGAGGGCGTGGAAAAGAAAGCGATCACTGTTGGCCTCCAAGATGGCCTGTGCCTTTTCAAGATGCCCATTGGCCGTGCTCAAGTGCATCAAAGAGTCGGACGAGCTGGGGCGCGAACTGAGACTGGCTTGGGCCCACACCAGCTCGCTCAGACCTGAGCGCAAAAGTGTGAAGACCCGGTGAATAGAAGGAAGAAGGTCGGGCAGGAGCGCAAGCTATGGACACTGGTCACCAAAAAAGCGAGATCAACCAGAGCGCAAAACGTGCCTCGCCGACCGCTTGTTTGGAGAGCACTCAGCTTTTGAGCAGCATCCGCCGCCTCGACCCAGTGACCGGCGCAACGTGCCCGATCCAGCAGCGCCAGCAGATCAGCCACCTCCTTTGTCGTCATCGTTGACCGGTGATACCAGTCTGTGCGCTAAGCAACACGCAGCATGTACACGGTGAGAGCCAAGCCTCGGGGCCCATCGCAGCTCGCTCCTGTGAGCAGAACGGCAGCACCCGAAGCACCGACCTGACTGCCGTTTAACCCCGCACACAAAAGAATGAGAAAAAAAATGTGTGTGTGTGTGTGTGTGTGTGTGTGTGTGTGTGTGTGTGTGTGTGTGTGTGTGTGTGTGTGTGTGTGTGTGTGTGTGTGTGTGTGTGTGTGTGTGTGTGTGTGTGTGTGTGTGTGTGTGTGTGTGTGTGTGTGTGTGTGTGTGTGTGTGTGTGTGTGTGTGTGTGTTATAAAACGC